ATTTTGCGTTTTAAGTTGGAAAGATAGTTTGCTGTAAATAAAATTGCCCTTCATAAATAATCATTAGAATGAAAATTGAGTTGATTTCAATTTATCATCCAATTAACTGATTAATTTCTCATTGCGACAGGCTTACACCAATATGCAGATAGGTGTAGAACCTATCTGCATATTGGTTCCTTTGCCAGGGGCAAATGGGGTTGTAGCAGGAGGGAGTTGGAATCTAACCTGCAACTTTCAGATTGCAAGCTGCAGTAACTCTTCTTCCTGTTGAGCCACAGTTTCCTTCACTGCCTGGATGATTTCTCCTGCCCAGGAACTCCAGCTTTACAAATCCAGACAGAGGGAGCTGGAGGCCGGCATCCAGGGGGCCGAGGCCAAGCAGCCCATGGTGCTGCGCTACCCACTCCCCTACCCACAGGACCCCTCCCCACCACCGCTCGTCCCCCAGAGGCCTGCGGAGCTGCAGTACGGCAATCCTTACTCCACCGACACATCTAAAGGCAAGTCAGAGGGAAGCTACTGCACCTCCTCCTCTTCCTGCGCTACTGCTTGGACTATAACACCTCCATTTCCTCCCTCGTGTAGACCAGGCGGACGTCGTCTTGTCCCCCGAGCACCTTTCCCGTCCTCCACCCGAAGCGCCTCTGTGCACCGCTCCCTGTGCACCTCCGGTGTCTCCACCCAGCCCCGGACCGGGAGCGCCAGGCTGGGACCAGGAGGTGGTCTGCATCCAGCCGTCCCGCAGCACCACTCCCCCGGAGAACATGGAGGCTCCTGCAGAGGAGGCGCAAAAAGTAAGAGGTTTTCAACTTTGGCTTTGTATCTCCAGCACAGTATATTTTACATGGCAACAAGCAAAAGAACATCATTTCTCGCAGCGTTAATTTCAGCTACATGAATGTTTAATGTCCAGCCTTTGCCCTCCCGTCGTAATTCCGCTGCCCGTCTCTGTTTCTGGAGGGCTTCTCCATCACTCACCGAGGGGAAAATACAGCCCGCTCTTAAAAAGCTCACCACCAAGTTCATTTGCATTAAGCCATAATTAATGTCGCTACCAAAGAGCTTAGGAGAAAGATTGATGAAGAGAGGCTGGACCTTGTTTTAAATGTGCCACCATTTCTGTGTGTGTGTGTGTGTGTGTGTGTGTGTGTGTGTGTGTGTGTGTGTGTGTGTGTGTGTGTGTGTGTTGGAAGGTGTGTGACAGAGCTCAGCAGCCATGTGACCATCAGTCCAGCAGACACAGTGAAGTGAGGAGCAGCTTCTGCTTTGACTCAAGGTAACAAAAACACGGTAAAAGAATAAAAGAGGAATATCGATGATGATAAATGTACTCTGGTAAAAGTACCACACTAGCATTTTTGCTCAAGGAAAAGTCAGTATTTGCATTTAAAATTACTTAAAATATTCAAAGTAAAAGTACTTGTTGAATGTATTCCATAATGCAAAGTTCTAGAATATTATTAGGTGTGCCTACTGTATGTATATTTTCTTTAATACATCTATAATGTTGGGCCATTTCAATGAACAATCGTGTAGATAATGCCTGTTTTTATTCTATTTATCCTGTGACAGAGTTTTCATTTGGACTTGTGCTTGTGGGCATTAGAATTTCAACGATGACCCGCAGAGTTAAATGTCTTCATGCAAAATAAAAAAGAGGAATGATCATACCTTTGAAAGTTTTGATTTCACACAAAGCAATACTTGTTTAAAAGGCAGAAAACACATTTGAGTAAATCGTATTGAAATTTTCTGACAGTTTTCAAAACTTGGACACGTGAGTCACTTTTTGAACCTGTTAACTCAAATAAGTCACTGATTTCTTTCAAACCATCAAACAAATCAGAATTAAGATGTGAACGTAACATGTGGCGCAACACATTATAGATATGTAGCGCCGTGAAAATTGAAAACGCCCATGATTAAATCTGCTGAAAGAGGCAGTATTATGTGTTTTCTCGACACATAGCACCATTTTCTCGCATAATCAAGTAGTTATGTAAAATTTCACTAACTAATTTAAGGCCTTGAAATTGGGCCTCTGTCTCTTTAAAAACTGTGCTTTCTGAAACTCTGCATTTACAAAGTCATCCCAACATCGCTCCTCATAAACGCTTTCACAAGGTTTTTACCAGCGTTGGACTGAGAAGCAGATCGTATAATGAGCTCCGCAGATGCTCAGTTCCACTAGATGTTTGCTAATTGCTGCCGGCTAGCCTGCAGGAGCTTAGTGGGGGAGTCACACCGCTTCGCCCGTCACTCACAGGGGAGTCCTGGCTGCTTTTTAAAGCGAAAGCAAGAAAATGCTGCTCAGAGGCGGAAAAAAACGAGGAAATGTGCCTTCGGTACCTCCAATCGTTTTGCACAGCTGAGTGGTTTCCATGGGAGACTAAAGTATTTTTCAAACATGCATGAAAGGATCAAGGCTATTCCCTCCAGATGAGGGAATAACATTGTAAAATGATGTAAACCTACAAAACGTATATTTTATGCAACACCTCCCCTTTAAGTGAAATAGAGAAACATGAAAAATGTACTCTAGTACAGTCACAAAGTGCTTGTATTTCACTACATCACTCCACCGTGAATATGCCTTTTTCTCCAACATCTTCATGCTGAGAATATTTTGTTTAAGGGGCGATACGTTTTCAGTTTTCTATTCCCAGTTTCTGAGATGATGCCTTTTCTTTTCTTCTCTTCCCTCCGTCTGCAGTACGGACGTCCACAAGCGCTGCCCGCTGTGCGAAGTGATCTTCCCGCCACACTTCGAGCAGCGCACCTTCGAGCAGCACGTGGAGAGCCACTGGAAGGTATGCCCCGTCTGCTCCGAGCAGTTCCCCCTCAACTGCCAGCAGCAGCTCTTCGAGAGGCACGTCCTCACGCACTTCGACGGCAACGTCCTCAACTTCGAGCAGATCGAGTGAGGGGCCAAGCGGTGAACTCTGACACGGCGTGTAGGCACACATATGTCAAGGTATTGCTTTTTTTTGTTAATTAGGTGATAATTAGCCCTTCTTTTTTTTTTCGCAATCTAAATGGTTTGCAAGAATGTAATTGTGAGTGGGTAACGGACTGAGAGGTGTGGATCTGCAGAAATATTTGTTCAAAAGGAACAGCGAGTAAGGCGGAATTTGGCAGACGTGTCACGGCTTTTTATTTTTCCCAATGAAGCACCTTTTAAAGAGCATGTTTATGTTCAACTACCTCAGTTTACCTCCTGTTAACTGAGGTAGTTGTTAAAAAAGTCAAACGCTGTAGTTTAGGGGGGGAAAGAATCTAAAAAAAAAAGAAACAAATAATCTTAGATTTAACTCCAGAGCAAAATCTAAGAAAGTTAATACACCCTCCACATGTTTCCCTGTCCTTGTAAAAATGTTTTGTAAGCGTAAGAATCTGGTAAAATGTATCAAAGCAGAAATAAAGGTTGGCTTTTTCTAGTTTACGAGAGACTATTTTTCTGTCAAAGCAATTAGTTTGTTTTTTTTGGTTTGTTTTTTTTTTGTTTTTTTTGCAGAAGCATAATGCTAACAGTGTCATGTTTGCCATATTGGCAGCCAAAAGCATCATCTTTGAGTTGAATTTAAAGCTCGACAAAAGTGTAAATCTAGAGTGAGACACTTGAATGTGTAAAGATTCTCTCTTTTTTTTCCCCTGTTGTCTGTATGAGTGTCAGATTGATGTCAGATTGTCGGAACAAAAAAAAAAAGAAGAAAGAAAGAAAAAAGCAGCCCTACGTTCTCCCGGACTGCACTAAATAAGGCTTTATTCCGAATGTACTGTATATAGAAGACTGGTGGCGATTCACCGTCGCCCCTGTTCATCTTCCTCAATGAAATGACGGGATCGGGGACGTTTCACTTCCTGTTGTGCACTTTCTCGCAGGTCAATCGCGGAGTGGCGGTGGTGGATGTTTCTGGCCAATAGACACTTTAATTTTTTTTGTTTGTTTGTTTTTTTCTAAGTTTAGAACTGTGAAGAGGTCGCGGCTTTGTGTGCAGGTCTGTCATCTAAATGTGTGTTTTGAGCTTCATGTCTCTTAATTTCTTGTTACGGCAGTGTTAACGGTGTTGCATCCAGGCTTCACAAACTATAACGCCTTGCAAGAAAACAACAAGAAAAAAAGTACTCTCACCTTTAACTTCTCCACATTTTGCACAAACTTTCATGTATTTTTCAGGGGGATTTTATGTGATTAATAAAAAGCGCATAATTATGAAGTGGAAAGAAAATGGCATTTTCCTTCCTTCAGTGAATACTGGACTGAAGAGTTGTGGAAACGAATGCAGACCCGAAGTCAGGAATTTACGCATGCACCGATATGAAAATTTGGGCCGATGTCGGTATCCAGTGTTTATGCATCGCATGACTGGACAAACACAACATGGCCAACCTCTTCATGAAACACAAACGGTAAATCTAAATAAACATCAGCTGGCAACATCGGCCCGGTTTATCTTATCGGCCGATACTCTTAACAAAAAATGACGAGCATCAGCCGGCACAGTGGTAGATGCATCCCTAGTAGTATCACAATCCTGTGTTTTCCCCACTAGGTGTAAAATTCCCACCATGTTTCACCATGGAGGACGGCGTGTCCTGGGGGAATCTCAGTTTTCCATGCAGGTCGAAAACATTGAAGTTTTGTCTCTTCTGACCGAATCGTTTTCTTAACTTTATTTAGAGGTAGCAAAGTAAATGGGGTTGTACGTAAATGCTGCTCTGCCTTTCGTTGGTCGATCACTTAAAATCCCCCAAAAGGACATAAAAAAATAAAATACACCTAGTTTACTGTTGCGATGTGAGCAGGTTCAAGGAGTGCGGCCCCCTTTTTGTGTGCGTCTCATGTCCCAACGCTAATCTCATGCGAGAATGTCTGAAAATTAGTGTAAATGTGCACCGAAAAGATCTTTAAGAATAAATTACGCTTGTCTAAATGAACGTGACTGTTGCTGCTTTTCTTTATTCGGGGAAGCAAGAAGCGAAGGAGTCGGGGGGGGGGGAGGGGGTTTCACTTTATTTTGCTGTTTTTTTTTTCAGTCATTTACATTGAAGCAGCTTGTTTTATGTATATATATCTATATATATAGATATATATATGGATATATATATAGATATATACATAGAAAGACAGTTTGACATCACCTACAACTTATTCTTCGTCAGAACCTGTTTAAACCTCCCATACAAAAGGGAAACGTTGGTCTCCATGTCACATACGAAAATATAATTTAAAAGCACTTGACGACAGACACGTGTTACGTTACATTCACTGTACATGGTATACTGAACCCCTCCCGAATCCGCTCGTCCTCTTCTGCATACGCCCGTCGCTCTACTTCCTCCGGCCTGTCGCCGCAGACTTGTGCTTGGTCGTCCAGCAGCGCGCCAGGTGACGGTACATCAGTTCGTATAGGCGTGTGGCGTGACCCGGAGGCTGGACCAAAAGAAACTCGCAAACAGGAGGATTCGGAGTGCGTGTCGTTGGAATCCATGAAGAAGAAGAAGAAGAGAAACGGCTCAAACTCGGAGCCTTGAGCGGAATATAAAGTCTGTATGAGAGGAATGATAGAGTCTGCATTGCTCAACTCTGGCAATTGAGAGTGAAACATGAGAGAGAGTGACAATCCGGGCCCTTGGCTCGATCCGGCAAAGGAAACGTGAAACACCCGAGCACTGATAACACACACACGTACAGGAGCACTTCCCTATGCTGATGAAGACACCGCTTGAAAAACACACACATACATACAGACGGACTGGAATGCTGCCCTCTACAACACACACAGACAAGTTGTAGATGATAATCTCTTAAATACAAATGTAACCTCTTTTTTTTGTTTGTTTTTCTGAAAGCATGCATGAAGACATTCATCCATGCACACTTTGGAGGAGCGATGAACACGAGAAATCGTTGCCACACTTTTGGCGACCTCCACGGTAAAACCGCCATCAGAAGCCATCCTCCCTCTGTCTTCTCCCCCCCTCCACTTCCCCTCTCCCCCCGTTTCTCCCTCCCGTCAGGCACATGGTATGGTCAATGTTTGGCAGTGGAGAGCTGTTGGCAACGATCATGGAAACAGAAACAAAAACAAAACAAAAACAAAAGCTCTTGGCAACTGGAATACATTATATGATGCTCGGCCTGCTTTCTGAGGCCGAGCGAGTGGAGCGGCAGCTCTGGCACTATGAGCGAGGGAAATGCTGAGTGGCTCGACGTGGCGGTCGAAACGCTTCAAACGTCGGGCCGCTGTCTCTTCCTGATCGACGTCAAAAACGTTTTAGAATGTGTGAAACGGAGAAAGAAAAAAAAGAAATTCAGCAAATACAGCACACGGAAATCAAGTGCCTCTGATAGCAAAACGGAAAAAAAGCCTTTAGAGAAATTCAGCTTTTATTGCAGCAGCAGCAGCGTAATTTTATTGTTTGCAAAAACCCACCCTTTAATCTGAGTCGGGTCGTTCAGTGGGGGACCCAAAAACTACTAACAAAATGCATTATTATTGGCACTCCTATACAATAAATAATGTCACGTTTTTGTAATTCACACTGCATTGTTTTAAGATTACTAGTGTTGAACTTTTATTTAGTTATCCTTGATTTCCTGGGAGTGTAAAAGTAATGACACTGTTCGCTACTCTTCAAAAGGGGAACGACAAGGGAACATGCCACTTCATGTGAAAATCTCAAAAAGTCAGGAAATGGTTTGAAGGCAGCAGCTTTTCTTCTGAACTCACCTACACCCTTAATCAAGTCAACTAATGCATCTGGAACTGGACTGAAACTACGGGTGCTCCAATATTATAGCTTCCCCAATTTTCTTAAGTTAGGACGATCGGCCAATACTGAACATGAGAAACTGATCTCATCTGCCACTGCAAAGGTCTGAAAATCAGCCGCTGTCCCACCGGTTACTGTGCACTCAACAGTACTCGTCCCACTGTTAGTAACTTGGAAACTTTGTTGCTATATTTAACAACTGTTCAGTAAGAAAAATAAATAAAAATTGGTAGTGGGCCCACAATCCCAGTCAGCTGGTCAGGCTTTTTAAAATATCGGTCATTGGCCGGAAAACTGCAATCGGTGCACTCCCGACTCAAATTACGTTGCCGCTTCTCTCACTGCCCATTTACTGTCTATTCTACTGCAAATAAAAACAACTAGGTTGTCAAATCTCCCCAACGACCATGGAGAGGCGTCTGCATGCCGACTGCTTTGTTTAGGACTCATCTAGTGGGTCAAATGAGACCAAGCTTGAGCTCCTCCACGCCACAAAATCTGTGTGGATCTGGCCTGAAACAATCACTGTGGCAACCTTGTTGAGCGCATCATAAATAAATATTTCTCAAGTTTTGCCATAACATCTAAAACTAGGTTTATCAGCGGGCCTTTCAACAGAATAATGACCTAAAAAAGTGAAACATTACTGAAGAAGGGGAGTTCAGCGTAGCATGCAGCTAATAAGTGCAGCGAGGGTGAGTTTGTAAACAAACATTTCTCAATATGAGATTTTTTTTTTCTTTCCCCACTAAATAACTACTTGCATTAAAAGTTCAGAAATGTCAGCATTCGCCTAAGAGATTATGCTGCTGCAAAAGAAGGCTTGGTCACTTCAAGGCTTTCTACCCATCCTTACCAGGGCCATAAGTGAACGCCAACGTGCTGCAAGTATGACAAACACTACCTCTGAAACACTGGCAAAAAAAACAGAAAAAATAAAGCTTCAAAATAAAGTAACTATGAATATGCTCATGAATACTTTTATAGTTTTTTTGTTTGTTTTTTTTATGTACACATACATATTTGTCTGTTGTTTATATATCAATATATCTGTTCTAAGTATAACTTAACTCTTGCTCTTCAACTCCCAGAAGTCGCTGTGAAGGCACAGACCTAGGCTCGGCGGGGACTCTGCGGCGAGCGGACGGGGCGCGTTCCGAACAGCCCGGCTCGCGTTCGTCCTGCTCGGAGGCGAGCGGGAGAAGGAAAAAAAAAAAGTTAAAAATTTAAAATATAAGGGCAGGAGTCGCTCGCGCTTCCTTTTCCAACTATTGTTCCGCTTTCCTTTTGTTTGTTTTTTTGTCTTTTCTTTCTGTTTTTTACAGTTAGCACCTTATGCAATAAAAACAGTTGAAGAAAAAAAAAATGAAAATAAAAAAATGATAGCATATACGAATGTGCAAATGTACATCAATAAAAAAAAAATACTACAGATACATAATTTGTTGGGGGGTTTTTTCCCCCCAAAAAATACAAGTGATAATACTTGGATAGGACAAAAGAAGAATGCAAAGATGGATATAAAAATGAAAATGTGACAAAATAAAAACAACTTAAAGCGTGCACTTGATCCTTTAGTGTTTGGGATGGATGAGGAGAGTCAGGACAGGGCTAATGTTTCGGGGTAGCTGACTGGTAGCGCAGGGCTCTAGCCTTGAATCTTGCGGAGGATCTCTGTGGAGACGGGCGGGTGGAAGTTGATGGTGTGATGCCTCAGGCCCTGCGACGTCTTGTAGCTCTTGCCGCAGCGACACTTGAAGGGCTTCCTCACACGGATCTGCGTGCGGTGGCCGTTCTTGGCGTGGTATTTGATGCCGTTCACGTTCTGGTCGACATCGAGGACGAGGCAGGCAGGAGGGGCACAGAAACATTTGACCAGTTAGCTTCGTTACAAATGAAACCGTGCCTGGCTGAGTTTGCTTTTCTAAGCCAATCGTGTTAAAAAGAGGCTAAATATAAACTGGAATGCTAAAATATGTGGCTACATCAATACCAATAATAGCTCAATTATTTTAAATCGCACACTAAGACTCTGAAGCTGAAATAGAGATGGAAAAGTGGATGTGGTTTCAAAACAGTTACATGAATGGTGCCATGAATTTGTATTCCCTCATACAGTTCAGGGTTATGGGCCGAGTCGGACTTTTTATTTGCTTCTGCTGCGCGTTTAATAAGCCTATAATAGAGCACAGAGAAAACCAAACGAAAAAGCGCAATATTGTCACCGTCTGAAAATAAAGTCATTTTTGCCAAAAGCGATTATTATAATTTTTTTGTCCAAGGCACTTTATTATTTTAGGAAGGTGACAATATGAAGGTATGTTAATCTACTTGTTAAACAGGGTAAACAGAGCAAAGGACAGCTCACCCGGTTGAGGAAAGAACGAAAGTAAAGCACCGAGGTTCATTAGACAGTAACAAGCACGGCGCAACGCACAATAAATGCGCACGCAGCCGCGACTCGCCCTGCTCCGTCCATCAATCACACATCATCGCAGATGATTTGTACTTGACTCACCATGCCTTTACAACAAGTGACAAAACGGAGCTGGGAGATGTTTACTGCTGTTGTTCAGCGCTTACTCAAATGGTGGTCTGGAAACAAAAGCAGTAAAATCTTAATTAAAATAATGTGTCTTGTTGGCTCAGGCTCGGACACAGTGCCGACAGCATCGGGTTGGGTTTTTTTTTTTCCTGCAGTCTCTTCCTCCTTAACTCAATAACCCTGAAGTGAGTTCGAGTGAAGAAAATATCTGATTTCCCTCCCAGAAAAATAAAAATAAAAAATAGCTCAGTCTAAAGATCACCAAGACTTTTCAGACAAACTCCCAGTTGGATTTGGGCCATTTTAACACAAGACATACTAAAACATGAAACTTTTCAAGTTTATGTTTCACAATACATTTAAAGACCTTGCAGAATTTACCTTTCACTTCACAATAATACACTTTGTAGATGCCTTATATTAATATCCGAATAAGATTTTTTTTAAAATGTGAAGCTATTAGAAACTCAAACCCAGCATGTCTCCTCTTGGAGATCCAAATGGAAGGAGACTTACCGCCGACTTGTCCTCAAATAACAGAGCAAGTAAATTTAACTGCCTGACAACTAATTTTCTCCCAGTGTTGCTTTTGTCACCATGGAAATGTTCCCAAAATCAGCCAAAATATATTTAATTAGAAGAAGAAAACATGTTAAACTCATTTCTTCTAGCTTAGTGGCTGTGAGGTAACACCGATTAGCTCTGGAGGGCCGTTTCAGTACCCAGATAAGGATTTTTCCCACATTGCCTTCTTTTTCCCTTTTAATGGGGCACAAAAGAGCAATATCCAACACTGCCTATTAATTTAGACGCCGGGACAGCAGGCTGAATGAGGGTTCTTGTTACGAGCTGCGATAAATATCAACCAAAGCAAATGCACCATGATATATTTATCACTGATTCCAATCAGGAGAGCCTGGATTTATGCTGGGTTCTTTCCAAGCGATCTGTCCCGACATGTGATACCCAAACAAAAGCAGCAGTGTGGATGTAGTCGCGGCAGAGCGCTCATGTCCTGTGGCGGGGGCCTGACTTATGAATCTAACCTCACCTTGTATCTCTTTTTGCACCCGGGGACGGGGCAGGCGAACGGCTTCTCCTCTCCCCCGTTCATGCACATGGAGCTCAGAATGGACTCGGAGCTGATGGCGCTTTCTGTGGTCCACGACTCGTCGCTGTCCGACTCCTCGTAGTCTACCTCCTCTTCGTCATACTCGCTGCCTGGAGCCACCGGGGAACAAGAAAAACATTTGTCATGACGCAGCGGGAACATGATGCCGTGGCTTCGCAAACGTTCTCGCATTTAGACATGTTGGAACCACAGGCCTGGGTTGGGATCTTATGCTGGAGATGGGAATCTGTATTGAGCCCCTTTTACCATGCTGAGCACAAATAAAATCCAGCGATAGCTGCTTTCATAATGCGTCGGATGTTATTGTTGGATGGGAAACTAACATGATTCAAACTGAACACAACATTTCCACAGCGGTGGCGGCAGCATCATGCTCTGGGCGATTTTCAATTACCATTTCAGCATTTAAGGGTTTTTTTCCCTCATCTTTCCGTCATGAAGGTGATTTTTCAGCCCAAAAAGACAAAAGTAATTTTTGAAAGAAAGCCTTAAAGCTGGCCACAAACCGTGGAAGTGAGGTACTCTAGTCAGATGTAGCCAAAACCTGCCCCATGGTGACTAATTGTGGTGACAGCATCATGATGTGGCTATAAAACAAGGAAGTTGGGTGAAGCTGGCGGGAAGGTAAATGGAGCAGAACACAGGAAACTGCAAGGAAATGGTTTAAGCCAAAGCACATTTCTGTGTCAGAATGGCCTAGACAAAGTCCACTTAAAAACCTGTATCAAGACGCCAAAAGTCCCGATTACAGACAATTCATTCTGAGAGAGATAGAAATATTTAGCATACATTTTATTCTCGTCACTAGATGTTGTTGCGCATAACGCAGTTCTACAAAGTATTTATTCAATCAGTGAGAGCGGACTAAAAAGCTTGCCACACTTAAGATTTTGAATCGTACAAGATTTTTTGTTTTGTTTTTTACCTTCATCCATCATCGTACATTCATGCACTGCCTTGTTTTGCCGCGTCACAAAAAAATCCCAATAAAATTAACAACCCCGATTTTGTTACTTTTGGGAAAGCTCTGATCGGCCGATACTTTCATGGAAAAGCGACGTCATCTACCTCTGCAAAGGCCTGTAAATCAGCCACTGTCCCCATTTTGCTCTGTCTTTGCATTGCGAGAGGACAGGCTGAAAGACCCGCCCACCTGGTCGTTATTGCGCATGCGCCGCTAGCCGCAGTCACCCCACTGCTGCCAACTTAGCAACTTTTGTCACTGTACTTTCAGACCAAAAAAGAAAGAAAAAGCCGGTATCGGCCAAAATCAGACTCGGGTCGATCAGGCTTTTTAAAGATCTGTGATTGGACAGAACCCGACATGAAACAGAATGAGGTTTGTGGTTGTCAAGGGGGAAACATTTTTGAAAATTGCAAGGGGTATAAATACTTTGGCAAGGCAGAAAATAGTTTTCAAAAGCTTTAGTACGACAACAACAACAACAAAAAAAAAATCAAGAATTTGCATTTGCCTTTTTTACACACATTTAAGGCATCCTAAATGCTTAGCATATGAGGCTTTCTCTGCAGTACTCTGCGTTCAGATGGTACTTTTGCTCACGAGTAGGGAAAAACAAATGTGGTGTCTGGGTGTGAGTGCCTGTGAGGTAAAATGCAGAGAATGGCACAGAAAAAGGGATCATTAAGTGGGAGGGATCCCCTACTGCTCAGCTTGGAAAAAAAACCCTTTATTCAAAGCACAACATTCCATTTGCACACACACACACACACACACCCACACACACACAGATGCATCTGAATACCTGAACCATCCAGGCTCACAAACATACAGACCCAGTGAACCTCCCTCCACCACCACCACCATGGAACAGGAAATGCTGCACCTCAGCATGAGGAAGTGGATGGCACCTTGGCACATGTTGAAAGAGGGTGTGGGTTCGTGCGTGTCGGTGTGTAATCGCAGACCTAACGCTGCGCTTGGACCCGCTCGGCCTGGAATTAGACATCTGCTCCTGGGCTGTGCAACACTCAGCCCCGATGCGAGCGCAGAGCAGGGCCAGCTGCTGTGTAATTAGCAAAGTGTTGACTGCTTCGCTCGCTGCAGGAGCCACTAAAGCCGGCTCACAAACAACACGCACACCTCTGCAGCAGATAGCGGGTTGGCTTTTCCTCTTTCCATCCTGACCGCAGACTTCTCCAGCTCCAGAGTTCCAATCTGGCAGCTTTTAATGACGGCAAATCATTTCTTCAAGTTGCAATGATTAAAGGTCATCGTGTGTTGCAAAGCTCTGCTTTCTGACTAATGCGGAGCCGTCGGTTGAGCTGCATTCCTCTGGTGTTACGAGCTCCCTATAGTGTAACCAGAAGTCTGAGTGTGAACTCCCCAAAGGGGCGATTTTGCGTGCCTCGGTCCGTCGTCATCGCGAGCAACCGGTTCGTCCTTCCGGTTCGCACCGTACCTGTAGGCGTGCTGCTCCGGAACGAGGAGGACGGAGTGATGGGGGGCGTGACGGGAGGGGTCAGGTTGCCGCTGGTGTGGCGCGGTGGCGTGGCCGTGCTGTTCCGGGACATGCCGCCTGTGATCGACAGGGACAGTTTGGGCGTGGCCTTCTTCTTCATGGTCTCCTGCTCGCGGCGTGCTGCGTCCGTCATGAACCTGAGGACACACAGAGGTTCACAAAACCATGTTTTTTTTTGTTTTTTTTTAACTTATTCTTAAAAATCTGCAAACTCAAAACTTCTGCATTGCGAAATGTTTATGCAAATACAGATCTATTCTGAACATGTGAATTTTATTGAAAAGTAGCTTTATCAGAAAAAAACACATATTGATGAATCTTCACACCTTCATTTCTCTTAATCATGATGATTTTCCGCTCACAGTAAATGAAAACATGACATTAGATTAGAGCAAAAACAAAAAAAAATTTTTTTACTTTTTAAAAACAAAAACCCTGGGCTTCTTGAAAAGTATGTTTAATACCTTAAGGAAGGTTATTTTCAAAAGGTACTTTTAATCTGACACGGGACTCATTGGGACGTACATCCTAATTTACTGAAGACAACTGTACGTGCATGGTGCCGACTTTTTCATATTTCCGTATGGTACAGTCACACAATTAAATGTATTTCATCAGAATTTATGCCATAGATCGACACAAAGTAGAGCATTGTCGTGAAATGGAACAAAAGAGCTCCCTCATGACCTTATAATTCTAGAAAAAAACGATTCAGACTATGTAACACGCACTTATGAACGACACTACATAGGTTTTAAGTCCCAACAAAATACTACGACGGTTGTGGCTGACCAAATGGATATAATTGCTTTTACAATAGGCTTATCTAAAGACAGCATAACAAGCAGCTTCATGACCTGGTTTTTCATTCAAAAGGGCTTCATCGGTTTCACATTGAGTAAGATCTCTGCCAGGTTAATGTGCTATCCACATACATGCGCCGACTGTATGTGGGTGTGTTTGAGACATAAATACCCTGAGTTCACGTAAATCAGTGATGAAATATTGTATGACCATACAGTTAAGTTGTAAAACCATTGTAAACATCTTTAGTGTCATCTCTTAAAGACACTAAAGATATGCATACTCCCATTTGGGGGCAATGGATTTTAAGTTAAACCATTATGCAAGTTTATGACTGATGTGTTTGTCGGTTTTCTGAACGGTTTAGAACTTTCTGTGCAGTAAGGTAGAGAGTCTTTTGGATAATGAATCAGAATAAAAATCAGGTGAAGTTCACCAAAGTCTTATTTAAAATGTTCCACAATTGTGCCAGAAAATTGAAAATGGGTCGTCGTTAGTTCTTGCAGCAGAACAGTTTTCTGAAACGCTAATTTTCCTCTGGGCACAAAAGATTTTTAGCACTGAACGCAAATTAAACGTCGGGTTTTTCAAAACTTTTGATGGGGGCTGTAAAAATACCGCAATTTATGAAAGATATGCTTTACTGTCATTGCACTTACTTTTCTCATTTGTTTCTCACATAAAACTTTTTTGAAAATAATGTAAATGAATCACAATGATGAGCGCAAACGAAGCCTATAAACTTTTGCAGCTCGGCGAGGTTCGCGTGCGCCACACGACACTTAAACTGGACGACTCAGAATTGGATTCGCCTCTACCCGTATTTACATGATCCCTCTATGCGGGTTGATTTTCGGAGAATACCGCACCAACGTGCGGGTCAAATATAGTAGTATACAGTTCAAGTATACAAAATAGACCAAGTGCTTCATGCCCTGACAGCAGCAAATATCCAGTCGTCACCAAATAAAACACTTTTCACGTGGTTTGGCTGTCAGAGGGGAAATACTCCTCTTAACTGTATAATGCTGAGTTTGAGTTTGGAAAGGAAATACAAGATATAGAGAAAGACACTGTTGATAAAGATTGAAAGATGAAAAAGAAATATCGAAATGAAGAAGTGTAAATAAGGTACATATAAGATGAAGACAAAGTTTTTTTTTTCACAGGAATCTTATATCCAATAGGTAGACACATGCAAAACCTGTTCAGGTACTTCTTCAGTAATTGATAGATTTTTTTTGTGTATGTGTTAATTGTTAATGCTTTGAACAATCAATTTAGTGACTCATATAATTTAAAGAATTAGTGCACCGATTGTACTCATTTTCAGGCCCATCGCTGATTTTAAAAAAGCCTGACTTACTCATTCTCATTTAGACCAAATCAATAACTTTTTTTTTTATACAAAGTATAGCAAAAAAAAGACGTAACTAGGTTTGCAACTGTGGGGTTACTATTACTAAGCACTCACGTGCAGATGGGAGTTGTCCTCCCCGCCCCCAGCAACCCTTTGGTGGGAACACGTACATGACGTCCAAATACCAATAACAAATTCCTCCATATTCCAGCTGTTTGTACGCTTTGATTTATTTTTTTTTGTCCCCCTCTGCTACAACAGAACAGCAACAGCTTGGAGGCCTTTATCTCATCTCGCTTTCTGATTTTACCTTGAGACAACCACATATTTTGCCATAAAACAAAAACTGAGCCACTGAATGAGCTGTCTTGACACCACAGACAATAAATACGCATGACATTTACGACCTCACCGCTGGAGCAATTATGACTGAAAACAAACCTCCTTGGTCCGCGCTCCTTTGTCTTATCACAATCTGCTCAGAGTTGCATCTTGTAGTAATTTGATGGGGTATTAAGTATGATGTGACAGTTTGGTTCACCACACACACAAACACACACAAAACAAAAGAAAAAAAAACAAACAAAAAAATGTGCGCGAGCGCATACACACACCCCCACACACCCCCACACACACACACACACACACACACACACACACACACACACACACACACACACACACACACACACACACACACACACACACACAGCCCGAAAAGCTGCCTCTGGCAGCCCGGGGAGCCAAGAGTGATTATCTGGTGCGGTTTTGTGCACTCGTTTTGTGGATGAGTCAGTGCTATGGGAAGACATAACTCATCTGAGATCTCCCAAGTCACATGAGTGCACGCATGAGTGCCCATTTCTCACGGTGGAGCAATGCTGCCCTCTTTAGATGCGCACTTGAGTAATTGACTGCGCCTACCTGTTGATGTAGCTTAGGGCCAGGTAGGTGGGCTGCTGTTGCTCCTGCTTCTCCAGAACCCGCGGATCTGTGTCTGCGGCAGAAAAGGACAGATTGGATTAATCACCGCTGCTCCCCGAGGAACACTGTGTCATCAATTAATTCTCCCTCCCAGGCACGCTCTGTAGATAACTGGAGGTTTCCCACAATGGCTTCACTGTATTAATGTAACTATGATAGATTAATGTCATGTACTTTCATTAAGCAGTGAATCAATATTCTTTATTTAAAAGCAATGCCTCTCCCCCTCCTCAAGAGATACATACTGGCTGCCAAAATATGACAAAGAGGAAAGTCAGTGCGACTGCTAGGAGTCAGTGATGAATGTGTGGTGTATTAGTCAACAGGCGTGCTCAGGCCTTTCTTTTTTTTTTTTTTACCTCCTCCTCCCCAACGGACTTGCTAAGTCAGTAACGCAACAGTAGGCAACTTCCTGTGCCTGAGGCTGGCACTGTTAACTTCAAAGTCCAGCCTCCTGGTCCTTGGATAACAGGAGCGTGTGTGCAGGAACTCACTGCTGGTGGCTTGCAACTGTGAACTACCAGTGCCATCAAGTGTTCAGCAGGGGGAACATTCAAAACCAGAGCCAAGTTTAAAACAATTAGGCGAGTTTAACCATTTACAGCTAACAAGGCATTTGCAAACGTGTTCACGTTTTGCCATGTTACACCCTCTAGTTAATGTTTTTATTGTGATTTTATGCAGTACGCCAACATAAATAGATGTGCACTTGAAACTTGAAAGAGTTACACATGGTTATCAAGATTTTTTTTTTTTAATAAAAATAAAATTCAAAAGCAAGTGGCAAATAAATATCCACCGAAAAAAAAAGTCCATTGACAATATTATCGAACAAACAACACCTGCACGGCAAAGCATGGTGATGGGACTATCATGCTGTGGGAAAAGGAAATTGGTAAAAGAAGGTTTCAAAAAGAGAGCAGTGCCGAGTCGCTAAACACAGCTAGAGAAACAATGCAAAGATTTAGCTCACGCATATGGCTATGTTAAAATGGTCCAGTCAAAGTCCAGAATCGCATAAAAGGAGACCATTTGTAGCAATCGGAGAGAGTCTAAGCCATTTTGCTATGTGGAAAAGCAAAAATATCAGCCTGAACATGTATGTAGCTTGACTTAGGCTGAATACAAGTGAACGCCACACTTTTCAGATTTTTATTTTTTATATATACATCAAAAATTCAATTTGGTTTATTTATATAATGCCAATTCACAAGAAAAGTCCAAACCACTTTTCACTTTCTTTCCAGGTCACAATTATGCACTACTTTGTTTCGCCGTCAGTCACATAAAATTCCACTAAAGTACAGTGATTTTCATGTCGTAACATAAAATGAAAAATAAAAAAAAATAGTTAAATGAGTATCAACTCTTTTGTGCAGCACTTTAGGAGTGTTTTCTAGCTGCATATTTAATGGCTTGCAGATGTATCGCAATCTAAATCTAAGAGCGCCTGGACGCTCCTTCCAACTAATCCCACCGCTCTGTGTGCTGGCCTTCACACCCATTTGGTTTTCAGGCTTTCACACCTCATAATTAAAAAAATGCAGACTTCCCACAATGCAGGAGAACACCAAAGAGGGCCAGCAAACAACAGGGCAAGGAACGACACACACCCTTCTGCTGTTTCCGCTGCACAACAACAACAAACCACAACTCCCTAAAGAGAAGGAGCGAAGCCAGGGGAGACGAAAGAAGCAGCTTATAGATTTGTGAACACAAAGACGTTTGTACACTCTTAAAAAGGGAGGTGGTCCACAGAGGTGGTCTCTCAAAGTATTTTATAGCCGAGCTCTTACCGTCAAAGCCGCTGATCAACACCAGAGTGATCTGCACAACCGGACGTATAGCGCCCAACGCGAGACGTCACATTTCTCTGTGAAATCATGCAAACTGACTTGGGATATAGTTTATCGCCAAGAGAAAAGCAAATAACGATTAGTTGTTTGATTTGATTCGCTATTGTTTGAAAATGTCATTAAAACATACTGTCCAGAAGGCAGGATTTCATGTGCACATGCCTCTGATGACATCGTGTGATCCCAGTTCCTTGAGAATGACGATCTGAGTCTGTGTGGGTTTTTTTTTTTTTCCAACTTCTGAATTTGCATGTTTTTTAATCAAATTTCTTCAAATCAATCAGATTTTTTTTTTCTAACCGGCATTCTCGATAAACTCAAAAAGAAAAATCAAAAATAAGAATGAAGAAGCGAAATAAGTAAGATAGTTAAAATGTAGAGCAGAATGTCACACTGCAAAACTAGAAAAAAAATTACTTAGACCAATAAAATAAAGATAATTTATGATGAGATGTGGGGCATTTCACAGCAATTGTAAAAAAAAAAAAAAAAAGGAAAGTGAACGTCTTAAAAGCATTACAATCACTGTTGGACTCTGGTGGACATTTGTGAGAGGAAAAAAAAAATCACCACTGGATGGTATCTTTGAAGTCCAAACTTAAACCATGCCCTTCATAAACAAGGCTTAAAGGCTTCCTGGTGCCTCTGAGAGTTTCCATGAAAACCTTTTCCGATAAATGTTTTTGCTTCTAATCGAATTACTAAATAAATCTGTCCAGCATGATTAACCAAACTGTTTCGTCGGAGATTCAGTTTTCAAAGTACCAGGAGCAGTAAAGTACTGGAGGGGGGGGGAAACTGGACAACACAGTGGGCAAGAAAGAAGATTTTAATAATTTCGGAAGCGTTTATGCATGTGTGTGGAGAAAGAGGGGAAGGTGGTAAAGGAGTGAACCAGGTGCAGCAGCAGTAAATGTTCCACCAAATTTATGACCTTCACTCACCTAACAGGACAGGAAGTAAAAAAAAAAAAATCTCCTGATCCTGACACTGGAGAATCTGGAGTTTTCAAATTTGAAAATCCCATCTGAGAGAGTCAGCTTCCCAACTCTTAACACATCACTTTGAGCTTGTCTGTGCTTTTATATCACATATATAATGCATGCATATCAGAATCTAAGTGTAGCTCTTTTTTTTTTCTGCCCTCTCCAACACCAGGATCCAACTAGTTCCAGTGGAACACTGCTGCCCCCTGGTGATCACCACCATTAGTGCGTGGTAATTGTGTCACGGTCTGTGCACATGGGCCTTTACCTTCGCATGTGTTCAAACCAGGCCAAGAATGCACGGCTTGTTGTGTAGCCCGCTAATTAAGCCCCAGAGAGCCTTTTAACGTGTTTCCAGAGCAGCAGGCAACCGGACGGAGGGAGAAGAGAGAAGGAGCTGGAGAACAGGAGGGGAACTGGGAAGGGGGAGAGGGGGGGCTGGAGTTGTACTTCTCTGTAATTACACTTCCTAGAGGTTTTTCAGGGGCTCTAAGGCCCTGCGACTTCCGAAAGGCTAATGTGTGGGACTGATGTGTGCATGGGGACCTGTGTGCGCGCACGCGTGTGTGTGCGTGTTTGTGGGGTGGAAAAAAGGGGGTCTGCAGATTCCAGTTGGAGATGCCAGTCCAGTAATTGCCCGGCTGCTCCACCCTTACAGGTCATTCAGCACACAGTCTCACATGCTCTCCTTCCTGTGTCACACCTCCACAAGGAGGGATGGGAAACGACCTGGCAACCGAGCCTGGGACTAAATGATTCAATTCATTTTCAGGAGGCGCCCCCTACGGGGAAACTTGCTTAATGCGTGTGCTTCTGGAAAACAGTCAATTACATAAAACATTACATTGAAAAAAAAATTTGAACCGGAAGTGTTCGAATATTTAGACGTCTTCAAACTGCTTGATCATTTTCAAAACCTCTGAAATGTTTTTAATGAACAAGAAACATAAAAGCAAACCTTCCACATTCTGATCAATTTCTTTTAAAACTTTTTTAGCCATGCATCGAGAACTTTAACACTATGTGACATCTTAGCTTTAAATAACTCCGATAGGGAACCGAGGCGAAATAAGGAACCGTGTTCAGCTTGCCACCATAAACAGAGCTCCCAGCAAAGAGGAGCGCTTGAGCTTAATTAAACAAAAGACTTGATTGAACGCAAACGGAAAGTAACTTCTTATCATTAAATTGGTAAGTCTACATAATGACCATTTGTCTCGAGCTGTGTGTTAGTTTGAGGAGACCGACAGCACAGTCGGCTGCCAGACAAGGCCAAGTTTACATTCCGATATGGCAGCTGCACATACACATTTAAGACCAGACGGCTACATGCGCTGAATAAAGACACATGCACACTTTTTCCCTCGCTGAAAGTTAAATCAAACTAAGCTTTTCTTGTTTTAGGTTAGCTAGAATTACCAAAATGATTTCTTTTTTTTTTTTTAATGCCTGAAAACCTAGTCACGGCAATGACATTTTTTTTTTCTGTGTAGCTTTCTTCTAATTCAAAGGTTTATATATACTTGGCCAGTGTCAGATATAACTGTCTTGCACTGTATGACTTGGGTCAAAGCTTTTGAGTTTTCTTTTCCAGGTTTCTCACAGCACCTTGCTGGAGTTCTGGCCCGTTCCTCCTCACAGAACTGGAGGAACTCAGTCAGGTTTGTGGGCTGCCTCACTCACGCAAGACTTTTCAGCTTTCACAAACTCACAACTTCTCCACAGGACTGAGATCGGGACTTTGTGATGGTCACACCAAGACGTTGACTTTAACACGAAGCCACTTTATAACTACTATGGCTGGATGCTTACGGTTATTGTTCCATTAGAACACCAATCTTTAGATGTTACGTCAATATATTTTCTACATAATGTTATTTTCTAATGGTGCCATCTGTTTTATGAAGCATACCAGTTCCTCCTGCAGCAAAACAGCTCCACAACATGATGCTGCCCCCCATACTTCACAGTTAGCTTTAGCGAAAGTTCTGCCATTTTTTAAAATTTCATTTTGCATATTTACACCCCCATACGCCTGTCTGAAATTCTAAATATTCTCATCTCGCGCTTAAAATCTAATCTTTCTGCAGGTCCGTCCCAATAAACATGGCGTATTGGGGGTTTGCTTGCACCAAAGTCCCAATTTATTCAGAAACTCCAGCGTCTTCCCAGTGTTACTCTTATAATCCCAGTTTCCTCTCCCTGTCCTCAGCGGGATCCAGGGACAGGTACGTACTTGTGCAGGTGAGAACATGACACGCTGCAGTCGTGCACAGGGGCACGGCAGCCCTGACATCATCGCATTCCTCAGGCCTTACCTAGACGCAGAGCGCGGAGCGTTAAACAACAGCTAAAAACCGCGCACTGTAAACACAGATCACCTCAGCCGCTTCCTCCGGAATCAAGTTGTAATCTAAAAAAGCGGGAGGGGGAGCAGGGGGTAGTGTGGTACATGTCATTGGACGGCTGCTATCTTCTCTGCCGGGATGAGGTCAGTGCTTTTTTGTCGTGAAAAGGTGCGCAATTTGGGCTGTTTGCTGCCGGCTAGCGATGAGAACTGCAAGAGTTCAAAACTGAGATTATTCAAACCAGAGGCAGAAGTAAGGCGTTTCCAAACTTTTACAGCCTCAAAGTTGAGAGTTTTCTGTCAATTCGTTTTTAGAAAACTACTAAAGGATAAAGGCAAAACTTTGCCAGGAATGGATTTTCCTTACTTACTCAGAGAAAATAAAAATCCCCAGACTTTGCACAAGCTCCTCATCTAATGCCCTGACACTAGAGGGCGGCAGAGACAAAACATTTCAGGTTCAGATGAGCAGTGATTTCTACACCCTGACTTCAGTCCCATTTGACTACTTCACACAATTTAAAGCGAGCTTAGTGCCAACCCCAAAACTAACTGATTTACAGCTTCTGCATGCCTCTTCATAATCCCCGTAAGCACAGACGGCTTCCAATCACTGCAATCCGTTACGCGCCGGCATTTAAACAGCTTCACTGACATCTCAAATGAGAATGTCAGGAGGATCAAATCGGCTTATGTCATGGTGGATTCTGATCACACACACATACACACACACACACACCACTGAGCCACTTTAGAACCCCAAAAAAGGGCATGGTCAGATGTCACCGACCTCCTCCTCTTTCACACTCTTGCCTCAATCGTCCCCTTCTTTGTCAGATTGCTCCCCGCACCCGCCGATGCATCAGCAATGTTCATTAAATTCCCAACGGTCATGATACTGCTGATGACCGGCTGTGGAATAAAGCGAACAGAGACGCAAATTTCATTAATCTAAGAGATCTGGCTAGTAAATCGTTGCTCTGCTCAGATGACGGTCGGAGTCAAAGGTCAATCTGAGAGCCAGATGGGGCAGTGTGGGCTGATGAAATAGCACGTCTATGCACATTTGCCGGCGTTTATGTTTAATTTGATTATTGGTGAGTTGGAGGAAAGCTGTAGTCTTTACTTCTAGACACCATCACCGACAGTCTATCCCATTTTTACACTTCTGACCAGTCCATACCCCTTCTTCATGTTGCGCGTCATCGCCACCGCTGGCGGCTCTGCAGAGCTCTTTGTCAGTGAGACAGCAGGTGTGCCATAACTCAGCCAACAAGCTGCCCCAGCCCCGATAGAGTAGAGACTGCCAGTTGCCATGGAGACTGGCTCAATGAAGCATCCATTTTACCCCCTCACCTCCTACAAATGGCCTCGTTGAAGATGGACGCATGCCACGAACAACAATTACACACCCGATTCGTTTTTCTGTGCACTCTGCACTGTTTTAACTGCTTATACCTCTATTAATGGTATAAATGGTTCCATAGTGCAACTTTTTCGGGGGCGGTTTTATGTTTAATCTGCTATGCAGGGTGATTATGTGCCATGTCTATGATTTGGAAGAGGTTAATTAATTATTAACAACACTGCAGGTTACTTATTGCTGTTTTCTCTGGTATATAATTAAAAGAAAAGGCTGAATCCAGGTATTAAAAGCAAGCAATTTATTGAACCTCTTCTAACAGTTGCTGCACATATATGGCTTTGTTACCATCAGCAAGATTTTGGCTGTAAAAAACGAAACCCTGTAGATTTTAAAAGTAGGGGCGCACCGATTGCAGTTTTCTGGCCCATCAATCTTGAAAACGCCTGACCTGCTGACTCAGAGTTTGGCCGAGATCGATTTTTGTATAACTGACAATGTGACATGGTCACCGAGTTTGCAACGGCGGGGTGACTATTGTTAACCACGCATGTCCTGTGAGCTGGTGGGCGGGTCTGTCGGTGATCCCTCTCCCAAAGCAGAGCAAAAGGGGACAGTGGCTGATTTTCAGACCTTTGTGGGGCTGATAGGATCGGTTTCACATGCAAATACCAACCAATTATCTATCGCAGAAAAGTAAGGAAATAAGAGTTTGATCAATCAGTCGACCGATTTATTGGTGCACCACGGATTAAAAGTGACAAAATTCATCAAATAAATAAACATTCCAATAACTTCTTGCATATATCTCATTAATTAAATAATAATATTTTAAAAAATTAATTACACTGCAAGATTTTCTAAGAGAAATGAGTTATTAAACATTTTAGTAAATATTGCAATGTGAAATCCATTCAAAATTCACAATATAATAGAAAACTAAAATATTATGAAGTTTACCAAATTTCAAAGTTGTTCTTCTGCTGTCCTTCATAAATCGCTTAAACTGATTCAATAGCTCATCAAATAGATTTCAAGATTTGATCGGGTGACTTGCAGCCAATTACTTTTAACTGTTATGTGCATGCATTTATTTACAATGGAGGTTATTTCACGAGACATTAAAGTATCAATTTATGATCTACTTAATTATTCACTGATTTAATTATGTGGAAAAGAAAAGGAAATTGGTGCCTGGTGAAAAGCTGATTGGCCCGACGTTTACGTGCTGTGCAGGCTGGCCAATTGCATTATGGATAATGATGTGGGAGCCATCATCTTTGCACAAGATATATGATCAGAAAATCTTGAATTATCATCATTGATGTAGTCAATTTTAAAAGAAATACAGCAGGCCACGCAGCTTTGTTCAAAAGCAAAGCTAAGAGCCTCTCTATATGCACAATGCTAAGAAAACTGTGGGGGCAGTGTTGTGATCTGGGATTGCAGTAGTTCTTTGGACTCAAAGTGTCCAAAGAATGAGGTCAGCTCGCTACCTGAACATACCGAATGACCAGATTATACAATATATCAATACATTTCTACTTCACTGATTGCTTAGCCATATTCTAAGATGACAATGGCAGGATTCGCCAGGCTAAAACTGTGCCAAAGCGGTTTAAGGAGTGTGAGACGTCATTTTCAGTGATGGATTGGCCAGACCCTATTGAGAATCTTTAAGCTGTGCTTGAAAACTTTGGCACAGCTGTCCAACTGATCTCCTCTGGAAGAGAGAAGTGAAAAATGGTGAAAAATGAATGCCACTCTGAATGAAAATAAATCTTGTGACAATGCAGAAACTTATAGAATTAAAAAGATTTTGTGCCATAATCACAGCTTTGGGCGAGCTACCAAAGTATTGGAGAGTGTTACTTTTTTGGGAGGCAGTCCATATTGTATATGTGTGCAAGAGAATAGCAAACATGCTAAAAAAAATGGAAAAATGATATTAGTTATAATACATTTTATGAATAATAAATTTGAAATTGTATATTTCAGAATTTATTTAATTATTAAATAATTTCATAAATAGGCAGATTAAACAGATGTATATTTAAATAAGTTTATTTTTTAAATATAGCTAAATAAATATATTTATTCAGATTAAATAGTTACTTATTTATTAATGTATTTTTGATACAGTTTAGTACCTTATGGATTTGGTTGTGGCACTGTTGGCATTCCATAAGACTTTGGGCTTAACGTTAAATAAACATTTGGATTTAGAGCAACAAGTTAATCATTTAACAAGCTGTGTGGCAGAATCTACTTGTGCTGCAGTGATAGTCTTTGCAAATAGTAATTCAGATAAGACGTGGCATTTAAAAGGCGACGCTTCAACGACAAACACCAGATGAAATGGGTGATGGACTCTTCCGCAACTCAGCTGAGGGCTCCGCTAGATGAGCTGCGGCTTCTCTGCATCAGGCCTGCAAATGTAAACAGACTGCTGCTCAGCGGTGTGTTAGCCGACAAACCGCTGTCCCGACTGTCCGGGATGCTAGGTATGCCTATAACGGCTCCGGCCGAGTAACAGCTGCCTCTGCAAGCTCCGTTTAATGACCAAATGTACAATAACACAAGCAAGCATCTTGTTACGTAAAAATAACTGTCCAAGTCGTCGAAGAGCGAGCAGCTCCGCGAACCTCGACGACGAGCAGCGCGGCAGGAATAGCGGAACGCAAAGCCGAGCCTGTCTGCAGCAAGCTAACTGGCTAGGACGCTAACTAGCAAATCAGTGCTAGCTGGCTGGCTCCGCCGTCCCCCCTCCGGCCCCCAACTCACCGATGTGATTGTCCTCGATGTGGACGATGAGCTCGGCGAGAGACTCGAACTGCAGACCGCAGCCCCCGAACCTGCAGGAATTGGAGAAGAAAGAAGCGGCGGCGATGCCCGTCATGCTTTACGGTCGCTGGCGCATTCACCGGGTGGGAAGAGGGCGGGGAGGGGGGTAGGTCCGGGAGCCGGGATGGTGAACGAGGAGGCGCAGGCTTCGGGGGTCCGGGGGTCGGGAGCGGAGCGGGGCAGAGCGCGGAGCAGACACCGGGGCGGCCAGACAGGACAGCGGCGGACGCAGCTGGGAGGCTGGCGGTGACGGTGGGGGTGGAGGGAGGAAAGGGTGGCTGGTGGCAGGCTACGTCACGGTGGTGCCTACCTGTTGGAGTCAGAGACAGCTTTGAATCACCGATGGCACCGAAGGACGCTGCAATCGGAAGAGCAGATGTTCATGACTTAGTGGTATACCGAGTAGACAGCAAACAGGAAATGAGAAAATCAAGGAGAAATCATCTCGACTGTCTTTTGAAAGCAAAAGATCTACTCAAAAATGTGAAGTTATATCAAATGCAATGTGCTATCTATTTCATAAAGTAACTAGTTTACTAAAAAAAATACAGTAGTGTGATTTATGCACTGAACTTATAACGTTTTTTAAACAAATACAACAAAAGTCTTTATTAAATACTTTGCAAGTTAGTTCCATAATACCAGGATTAATATGTCATTTACTGCAGACATTTTTCCGATTGTAAAAATGGTAGCAAAGAGTGGATTATCGCTAGAAAAATGATTGACATAATCTGACATTATTTCTGTTTATTAGTATGCGCTTGCATTGTTTAGCATATAGATGCTAGTTGATATAAGGTTGTGACTTCACTGCCTGGTGAGTCATAACAGAGGTAGGTTGACTTCAACCCGCTTCTCCACATCGGTCCTTTCATGAAACACATGGAGACAGCAGAAACACAACTCAATCCCTCATGGTCAATGGGCAAGAGGTGGGATACACCCTGGACAGGTTGCCAGTCCGTTGCAGGGCCAAATAATAACCTGGTACGAACATTCTCCAAAAATGAAGTTTAGACATTGTTTTTTGACCTTCTTGACTATCCTCTCCTTCTAACAGTGGCAAGTTTGTTACCGTTTCTGTTTTCCTTATTGCTGGCAAAGAAGGCAAGTGGATGTCTTGTTGCCATTTCCAGACCTATGAAGGTCGGCACACATCTGGCTTTCTTGTCTTGCATGTTCTCATGTCTTTGCTATTTAGGAACACTAAGACGAATGGGCTTCTGTTTCACATTAAACATCTACGCCAGGGCAATTGTAGCATATTCTCCCACCGATGGAAAGTTGATCATCGGTGACCTTCGACAACACAACATGAGTTTAGTACAGGGAGGTGTTGGCCATCTTTGGATGAGGGATACCAATAGCTTTTTTGGAGGATGCTCTGTGTGGCTCTCCCAGAGAAAGGAGAATGTCGTTCTAATCAACAACTTAGCCAGCCAGACTCAGCTGGCTTCTGTTGGGTTTGTCAATCGAGCGTTAAAACAGACCATCATAAAACAGCGGCGATGACTTCAGCAAATAACCTTCAGACCAGCGAACGCTCTTTTTTTTTTTCTGCCTTACTTCTCTGCCATCCATATACACAGCCATGTGAGACACAAATGTACAAACACATTTTCAAAGTTGCACCAAACTGCAATACAAGCAAGCAAAACAACGTGACATCACCAGAGAACACAGTCCTTCACATATGTTCAGTAGAGAAATCCAGTGACTTCATCAGCTTCCTCACAGATGTGCTCCCTTAGACACACCAGGCACAAACACACTCATTACACACACGCGGGGCATGGTTCTCCGTGAGTGTGACGCAGTTGCAGAGATCCATTGCGCAAATCAGAAGTGGTCGCATGTGTTGCTAATGTAATCGAGAGAAGGGAGAGACACGCAGCGTGGGTTCGTGGCGCATGACATAATTTGATCTGAGGTCAGTAGGTGGCGCGAACAGAAACACAATTTGTGCCAATAGTAACGAGGTTGCGTTGTTTGAAACAAATACACAAACACACGTCTATTGATAGTCTAACTATCCAACTCTGAAGTTGTTCAAAATACACTTCAATGAAAAGTATCCCAACACACACAGACACATATTTTTTTGTGTTTTTGCTTCTTTTTTTTTTTTTTGCCAAATAAGCGAGTTTTTATGTCACCTAATAAATCTTCATATCAAATTAAAAGAACCTGAGTACAAATGGCACAAAACAGTTTTTGAATGAGGACTTCATTTATTAATGGAAAAATGCTATGCGAACCAATCTGGCCCTGTGCTAAAAAGTTATTGATCCAAAAACCCAATCAGTGGTTTTGTGCCACCCTTGGCAGCAATGAAATGCATTTGTGAAAATTGCCAATTAATCTTCCCTATCAATGTGAAGACGTTTTTTTTTTGTTTGTTTGTTTGGTTTTTTTTTTCCACCCTTCTTATTTCAGCCCCACTGGAGAGGTTTTGAGCTTGACTGGCATATATTATGGAGTTACATCTGTGCCAAAAATATTTTAAGCTTACATGTCAATGCTAAGTGAATATGATTTGCGCATATGTAGCGTGCTTATTTTCTAAAATATATGATGTGAAAAAAAGCAGACACAAAACTAAATACAGACAGACATATCTGATTATTCATTGTTTGTTCTTTTTAAAAGAAAAACTAAGTTTCTTTTGTCGTTGTATTTTAATAGGTCCACAAATTTTGACCCAAATTATGAGAGTGGTGACATGAAGTTTTGCTTCTGATATATATATATTTTTTTCCTTTCTATATTACATATTATAGGAAGTAAAACTAGTAGTTTGTAGTCCTAGTGTTAACTGTGTGCTATGTATTGTTTTAAACATTTATTTTAGATCAGTGTTATTCATAAACACTGTACAGTGTTGTGTGGTATTTTTGAGCTGAACCGAGTTGTTTTTCACCAACTGGGAACAAATAAGATGTCTCCAGTTGCACACACACGAAGGAACTGGAATAAGTGAGCTTAAATAAGACCTTAAAGTCTTGACATTGTAAAGCTAAAAAGTGCAAAGGATGAATCTTCTTTTAGAATTGTTTGCTGCTTAGAGTTAGACCTACTGGTATGCTTTGCAGTACAGTTATTATGACGTCAGTCTGTTTGTTTGACCTTTGGCCTCGAGTATTGTATTTGTACAATTATTCTGACCTCAAGCTTGATGAGGCAGCTCTCTGAAGCTCTCAGGCTGGCTGTTAAAAGCCCTGGGAGGGTGAAGATGCCAGACAGTAAGTGGCCTGTATGCAGTCCTGAGTTATGGAGGTAGCTGTTCTCCCAGCAGCTTTCTCTGCTGCGAGGGGCAGCAGACTTCCCGGCTGCCGTCAGAGACTTTTGCGGCGTGACTGTGCAGCCTGCACGAGCACGCACGCGGTGTGAAATGTCTCCCCTTATCTGCACCAAAAACAAAACTCAGCGGTTCGCCGTCCACATGAGGGAAGAGCCCAAAACACAGAATGACATCATCACAACTTCCTGTTTCCTCAAGTTTCCATGGCACCAGGAATCTGCGTGCTTTACATGATTGGCGGATGGTGAGTCAGTTAGGGCCGGTCCATTTTTCTTTTCCTTTTTTTTTTTTTTTTTTTCCTTTCTTCAGCACAACCACAACAAAACCATACCCCAGTGCTCAGCCCTGTCCTGGCTGGAGCTCCGGAAACCCTGACCAAACATGGCACTGGTGTTATTCAGCGATGTGACTCACTACAAAGAGCGTAAACTCCTTTTACTTTTTGATGCTGTAATATGCTGGTGGATATAGCATTGCATAAAAAACGATTACTTAGTAGTAGTCAGATGGTCCGACTGAAATCTAAATCAATGGAAACACTGTGTTGAAGGGAAACTTCTTCAAGTGGAACATCACTTGTCACAGAGCATTGATGACGACTGTACATTCATTTATGTTTTTTGGACAATTGTTAATCTTATGCATATTCAGCAGTCTGTAGTCCTTTTTGACTATTTCATACAGGTATGTAAGAAATAGCAAATCAGAAGAAGTACTTGGAATGTGGAGGGACCCATGATTTACAATTTTTTTTCCTACGCCTCACAGGACTCTTATTTATTAATTTAATAAATTCCTCCAGTAATAATATAGCAGCTTAAACATATCAAAATTATAAAATACAATTTTTAAGTTAACTTCTGTAGGTGGAAAAATGAAACTGAAAGTGCAAATGTTTAAGATTCCATTTCCATCCTTAGAGTAAGTCTCCGAAGGCACAATGAAATCTTCTCCTAATTAGTTCAAAAGTTGCATTTTGTTTCAGCCAATGACTTTTTTTTTTACCTTTTCTTTTACGAGTAAATCTCATAAAGAGGTCAAATTGTCAATAGAAATGTGTGTTTTAACAGTCACAGACAACAACAACGCTGTTTAACTGGACAGTCGGAAATGACACATATGCAAATAAATAGAAAAATGTTCAATTCAAGAAGGAGACACAAATAATAACATCAAAAACAGGAACAACCATCCACTGTCCTTAAAATTGTAAGAGAAGGCAGTTCTTCTGTACATACTGGAGAAATGCTAAAACAATATGCCAGACACTCTGTAAGCAGAGTCTGATTTATAAGCTGCAGTGACAGTAAATACAGGTGACCATGTCAGTGATTTACTATCACTGTCACGAATTTGCTGGTGGATATAGCATTGCATAAAGAAAAAAAAAAAATTTTTCTTCAGAAGATTGTTTATCGAGAATCAAGGCCGTCTAAACAAGAAATGCGACATGCAATGGTTGGTTAGAGGTTCACATCCTGTGATGTATCTCAGTGCTTCATGACAAACAACATCTAACATCTGCAAAGAGATAAACAGGATTATTCAGGTAACATTGACATGGCCAGTGTGAGGTATAACCGTGACCTCAATAAGGCCTTTCTTTAATTTCAATGAAAAATATGACTTATTTATATGAATGAACCCTATAATTTGCATTTGTTCTAATTATATTCAGTGTGTAATTTAAAATAGTTTTTCCATTATTTAAAACGTCAATGCATCTATAACTAGACGTACAGCGAATTTGCTATTTGTACTTGGAAATGGCATAGTGTTAGTTTTTTCGGCATCTATCAGAGTAAATAGTGTCAAATTCAACCTGCAGATGATCAAACATCAGGACATTGTATTTGTATGATATTAGATGCATCATGATCATTTTTGACCTAATTTTTTTATAAAATGGCAAAAGTATTAGTCATAATACAAAGCCCTGAGGGACACCTTTTGTGACATTCAGATAACAGAAATAGAATAGAATAGAATAGAATAGAATAGAATAGAATAGAAGTAAGTAAGCAAGTGGGGGAATATAGCATTGCATATTTACATATTGCACATTTACACAAAATCAAAGTAAAAAACAGTATAGGGAACTAAAAACTACAGCCATTGCAAATAACATACTATCTAATCACTTCCTCTCACCAGTAGATAATCTGCTGCTTCAAGGTAGTACATCACAGAAGACAGCTGATGCCACTCAACATTTATTTACTATATAATATATAAAACGTTTATGACAGTGACTGTGTTCAACAGACGTACAATATATGATCAGTCCAATAGCTTTGCTGTCAACAGAGGTTTAATTCAGGAGAAGACGGGAGACAAGTCATCCAACAGTTCATTTATTTATTTATTTATTTATTTATTTATTTATATTCGATCATGCATTATTTATGTTTGTCATAAAAAAGACAACATTGTAACTAATAATAATAGTTAAACAACTACTACTACTATTACTACTACTACTACTAATAATAATAATAATAACAGTAATAATGGTTTTAAAAGACTTCTATAGTCATTAAAACTCTAGCTGTAATGACTTTAGACTAGACATTAAAAACAGAAGCGCCCTCCCGGTCTGTCCCGTTTCTGTCTGTCGGCGGAGCCGTGTACGCCAGCACGCTCCCGTTCCGTTCCGTCACCCCAACCGGCCCGCGTCCTGTCCCCGCCTCCTTTCTCCTCCTCAGTCCTTCGCTCCGTACGGGACCGCAATGATTTAGAAGTTCAGGAATCCCACGTGACGTCACCGGGAGGGTGATGTAATGCTTCTGTAAATAGAACGTATTGTCATCGCGCTCCAGTCCAACGTGGTTCCTCTCTGGAGCGCCGCTCGTCCCTCTCTCCACTCGTAGGTAAGCCTGCGTCTACTTTTTCATTCACAAAAAACTTTCATGAGCCGCGCAACAAGCGGCGGCAGGCGCCGGTCTCGGCTCTCTCGCGTGCTCGTCACGGCTCGGGACGGCTTCCTCGTGTCGTCTAAATGTGTCCGTTCATTTACGAAAACCGGCCAGAGAAGTTACCGGCGGCGGGACTTTTTGTAAGGTTCGGTGTCCTGGTGAGGTCTCGTCAGCGAGCGGGACGGGCTTGAGCGCTCCATGTCTATTTAGGGGGGTGTGACAGCACTCTTCATACAGCTGTGCCGGCCGGCCGGCCGGCCGGGCTGGATTTTTTTTTTTTTTTTTTTTTTCTGAACAGGTTGTTTTTAGTGAGCTGCGGGACGGAACCGGGTTATGGTCCTGCTCTGACACCGGATTTACCGGCCGGAACCAACTTGATCTGAATGAACTGCGAACCTCAAGCTTAATTTCAGATTCAATCAAATATGGAAACTTTAAAAGACAGTAAGTTGGTTCGTTCTGAACGCATCTGAACGGTGTATTTGCAATTACTTTTTTTTTTTAATCCTCAAAACTACTAAAAGTTATGTGTTTTTGTTCCAGTTATTATTGGTGGACCACAATGTTTGATTTATCTGTCTTAAATGCTTGGAAAAATGATTGCCAGTGTATTCACAACTCAAATTAATCCCTCTTAAAGTCGCAACATATTGGCCGTTGTTGTATGTAGGATTTATGCGTGTATGACATCATTCTGCAGTGATGTAATCACTCTGACAGAAGGATTTTGCTGAAAAATGTGCTGAGTCTGCCATAATCTCGTGCAAGTCTTGCTTGATGGGACGTGGCGACAAAAGATTGGAGCAAGACAAATGATCTGAACTGAAACTAGAGACTTTTTATGCTTCATGCCCCTGAGGGTGTGCAGCCACGGAGTCTCTTTCCTTCAGCTGATCGTGCAAACTGCCCATTTCCTATCTGTTATTGGGACGTTGTGAACTTGTTTGCTGGTATTTTGTAACCGGTGTGTACTCATACACGTCCACGCACACGCACCTATGAAGTCACCTCTGCTTGCCTTAGGTTGGAAAATGGGGGCTGAGGCAGGTTCCAACCTGTCAGGAGTGCAGGCCCTGAAGTGTGGCCCTCCCTCACCCTTCCTTCTTCTATCTGCCTCTTTTTCCATCCGTAGTCACTGCCCCTTGCCCTTTCCATTCCCCTCTCCATCACCCTTGAGTTGCTCTCCCACCCTCCCGCCCCTTCCCCCATCCACCCCTTCCTCACTCTTTACACTACTTATGTAGGCATATTGTTTTTCTATTTTCGAGAGCTCTCACTCTTTCCCCTTACCATCAACACTCAACTCGTCTGGTTACACCTGAGACTTCAATTTTTCTTCCTCTGCTGTCAGACAGAAAGAGAAGGATTAGCAAAAAACTTACAGCGCCCTCCGATAGAAGTGATCTTCTCTGGCCCAGCGTTTGTGTTGATGCTTTCGTCCTGTGAGGGCTTGATGCAAGCCCCGGTGTGCCGTCGTGCTTTCAGCGCTCTCATTGTGAGCTGGGCACCCGGTGAAAGCATAATTTGAAGGTGCTACACTCAGCAACATCACTGCAGAGTAACCATGAAAAGTCTTATGTCTCAGAACGCTGTAGGACTTCAATGTGTGGTAGAAATCCAAATTTCAGTCTTTTATTTCCACCGTTTTTTTTTTTTACACTCTAAAACATTTGGGGTGCACATTTATGACCTCCATTGGCTCACAATCAGAGCCTCGTTTACATTTCCAACAACTCTGAGCTGCTTCGCCACGGCAGCGTACCCACAGTATGATGCTGCCACCGTCGTAGTTTATTATGGAGATGGTGTTTTCAGGTTGATCTAGAGTGTTAGTTTTCCTCACACAGAGTGTTTTCCATAGAAACCAAACATTTAATTGGTTGCAAAAGTTCAATTTTGCAGCATCAGAAGAAAAAAAAAATTATGATTTTTCTTCTGCTTTACAATAACGCATGACTTTGTGTAGTATTTTCTATCATAGAATAATAGTATCAAGCTTCCCCACAGTGTGATGCTGCCACCACCATGCTTTACACTGTGTTTTTGAGGGTATTATGCAGCTTTCCTCCTCATGTAACTTTTTCTTTTACTTGAAAGTGATGCAACACTTTATATAATTTTCTCATAAAATCCTAATCTGGTAGATTGACGTCTTCCCGTAGCATGACGTTGTCACGTTTTAGTGTCACAGTTTTGTTTTTGTGGGGGGGGGGGGGGGGGGGGGTTTGTTCAAATATAAACAGATTCATCATCTTCAGAAATGCATAACACATGCGTTCCACACTCGTGTAAATAATGTTTTACGTCTGTTGTGTTATCTTTTTCTTCAAATGATTCTTCCTGCAGCGTACTTATCTGACCTGTGAGGGGCACGAGGAATGCTCCCCTCTCTCGGTGGCAAGGCTCCACATTGACACATTGTTCTTGATTCTCCTGTCTGTGTAGGCTTGTGGATGACATGAATGACAAACAGGACAGGCCTTATGTGTGCGGCGCCCCTGGCTGCTCTCAGGTCAGTGGGACACAGCATGAACCTGCATTCTAGTGAAGACGGGTCTGATGATTTATGCCTTTATGTTCTCATGGAAAGTAATCAAGCATCTACGTAACCTATCAGTAATGATAATAATAAAAAGCAGCTTTCTAAAAACAGCATCCAGAGATGTGACATCATCCTTTTCTCATCAAAGGAGTCAGATTTTCTTAAATACTGATAAGATTAAGAGTATTGTGACCATTTGCGATAAGAGAGATAAGCTGATGTGCTCCGGCAATTTATGCCTCGACTCTTTCGCTTCCTCTTTCCGGTGGACTGCAGCGCTTCCAGCTGGAGGAGCACCTGCTCATTCACAGACACAAGCATGAGATGACCCTGAAGTTCCCCCCAATAAAGACAGACATAAGTTTTTCAGGTGAGGTCACATCGTCCACCTCCCTGAGGTGAGCGCATCTTGCGCGCCGTTCTGTTCTCTCCTCCCGGTTCAACATGGGAGGAGAAACACTTGTCATCAGAAGCTGTTACAAAACCGGCTTTTATATCTGTTTTTTTTCTTTGTTCTTTTTTTTTCTTTACCAGTTGCACATTTATGATATGGCCTACTTTTAAAAACTGAGAGCTGGACGAAAAAAAAAAAAAGAGAAAGATATGTTATACAATATATGATCTGATAACCCCGCTGCAGGTTTCCTTCCCTCAGGTAGTTCACGCTGCGAAACAGAGGAGCTCATGTTGCAGCATGCACAGTAAAGCACGTCGGGTTAGGCACAGAAACAAAAACAGGAGGATGATTGATGTCTGAATTTTTATTTTTATTTTTTTGTCTCTATTTTACATTTTAAGTAAAACGCGTTTGGTGCACAGGTTAGATTTAATTTTTTCCTATCAAAGAAAATTGACCTATTTCCTTTGATCGGAAAACGGCAGTTTTGGTCAGTTGGGCATTCGAGCAGGCCACTGATCACAAACACACATTAATGGTTTGCAATGGCAACCCCAAATCCCTGATCTCAGCTCGATGGAAAATTACCAAACTATTTTTAAACTATTACTTTAAACGAGCTCTATTCTCGCAAAAAGAATGGTTAAATTTAAAACCATAATTACACCAGGACTTTGTTATTGGCCAGACTGTGTGTGTGGTCTGTCTGGCCCTTTATGATTTAATTTCTAAGGGAAATTCATATACACGCGTGCGGGTCCTTGACCCTGTTTGCAGAATATAGAACCTCGTATGGATCAGGCAGCATTCACAATAGATTTAAACTTGTGCATCCAATATATATATTTTTTAAACTGATGGAAAATGTGTGCATTAATTTTCTATTCTGAAAACATAAATAAATAAATAAACAAATAATAGCACAATAATAACATGTAATTTTGTGGAACGACAGGCCCCGCAGTTACAGAACATTCTGTTTTACACTGAAGGCGAATGTGAAACTACTGTTTCCTTTGATCCTGATGCGTTTTTGCACACAACATTCTAACGAACGAACACGATGAACCAATTAGCAGATATAATGGTTGAAGTAAGCCCAGCAGCAAGCAAAATGCTACATCCACCTTGAGGTATTAAAAACATTTTCCTTCATCCAGTGAAATATTTAGACCGCCTCAGTGAACGCTCAGCATCTTTTTAAGTGGTTTTAAACATGACTAGTGATCTTTAGGATAGTTGTATGAAAAAGTAGTATTTTCGTTCACATGTTTTAGCCACCGCTGGCAATATTCACCATAGTCATTTAAAGAGTCACCTAGGTAGCACATTTACATAAAACCTGTGAAATCTAAATCACTTTTGAGCCGTTTTTATTGGATCATGACCTCTTTATTTTCCATTTCCTTATGGAGTCACCATGTGGCTTTTATTGTCTCGTGATAGTATAAACAGGGTAATTGTTGTTGTTGTTAAATAATAAAATAATAAAAACGTATGCGGTCAGCGCAGCAGATCATTTTTATGTCGTGCATTTAACACGACAAATTCATAGTTGTCTCAGTACCAGAACACTAAAACAAATGGCGAAATGTTGAACAACGTTGTGATGACTAATTGAATGACCCAGTGAGCCAATAATATCCAAGCTATGTAGTCAAAACGTGTCACACAGTGAGATGTGTTAACATAGGATCAGCTGTCTCTCTGGATGTAAACATTAGGGTGGGATCTAACCTCCACAGATCCCCCCACCTCTGGGACCGTCGCCCCGGGTCCCGTGTCCTGCAGTCTGTCTCGCCTCCTGCAGGAAATCTGGTGTCAAAACAATGAGCCCGGCTGACCCTTGACCCCTGCATGTTTAGACGGCTCAGAGAGACAGACTGATGTTATCAGGGAGTCAGACTGGGAGCTCGGCTTGTCTCTCTCCTCCTTGCATTACAACCTGGATGACAGTCGGTTTTAGAACATGCATCGGCTCGAACGGCGGAGGCTGCCGCGAGAAGTTGGGCAGCGGGGGATGAATTTATGTTGAAAAATTGAAATCCGTCTCTCTTATTTATTTTTTTTCTAACATCTGACTGCGGATGATGTTTTCAGACCAGACTCCGACCCCAACGCGATTTCTGCAGAACTGTGAAGAGGTTGGTCTGTTCAAGGAGATCGAGGAGGAATTTCTCCAAGCCCAAGAAGAGGAGAATAACAAACAGGTACAGAAACAAAGGATTAGCTTCTTCTTACTCTTTGAAAACAAAAGTCCCATCAGAATGCAGACCTGTGCTTGTTTGCTTGTGGGTCTGTAACGCTGTGTGTCTTGAGCGCCGGTTGTTTGTTTGCGAGGGGTGATAAAGGGAGTCAGACCCAATTAGTCGACTGCAGATATCGGACCTGCTGCAGGAAAGACAAACCAGGGGATCACATTCTACCCTCTAAATTAACCAGCCAGCCCTCAAACGCAAAGGAGCACACCTCGACGCTGGCTCTGAGTGCCGAAAAGATCCAAGCCAGTTTGTTGTTTCTGCTTCGTCCTCTGCAGACGCTGTCTCATAATGGGCCGTCTTGTATGAATCAGCAACATCTAAAGCCCCAGCTCCAGCTTCAGCACCTTCCCCAACCGCCGCTCAATCATCCCCAGGCCCCGCTGCATCATCCCCACGGCCATGGCCCAATGATGGCACCGAGCTGCAGCCTGGCTGCCCAGCAAGCACTGTCCTGCTCCTCTGGCGCCTCACAATCTGGATCGGTGATCACCCAGGCTCCCTCCACCTTAACACATTCAGGGTGAGTATAGCTTTACTTTGCTTTATATATAGACACACAGTTTTCCAAATGACATATCCGTATCACATTTATTTGCAGCGACCCGCAAAGATTTTCATGATCATTGAATGTTTTCACATTACGTCACCTTGCAGCCACAAACTTGAATTTATGCTACTGGGGCTAAATGTAGCAGATCAGCACAATGTAATGCTGGGTGAGACTTTAGCAGGGCTTACAGCGCAATAGCCCAGGATGCTCAGTTTTGGGGACCCCAACCATAAAAAATCTTTACTTTTGGAGTTGTGTATGTTTTACAAACTTTCCACTTCACATTAAACACAAAATGAGCACCACATGCCCATTTTTGCATGTAGTGTTTAGATTTTTATTAATTTAAATAGCACTCAAATATTTCAAAATTATGAAGTGATAGCACATTTGAAAAAACTTATGATGTATGCAAACTTTGCAAGGCATTGTACTTTATTGTCTGCATAGCACAGTGCATGACAGGCACACATTTTTTTTTCTTGTGTTCCTGTTTTTGACATATTATAACTCATTCTGTTGGGCAGCGACTGGCATTTTCCACTGCATAATTCATTACCTCATTAATGAAGAGCAAGGAAGAAAAAGATCAAACATTCATTCTGAGAGAACAAAGTGCAGATGAAGAACCGCTGCATAACGCCCACTCAGTCCTGTTGACTCTACCCGCCCCAGTGCCTGACTAACCGCCTCTATTGTGTCTGTAAAGACTCCGAATCGGACCGGGGCCGCCTCCTTGGCTTCCTGGTTATCACCCAGTTCAACTGACAGATTAGAGGAGGTTCCTGTCTTTCATCCGACCAGCTCCCAACAGCTGCTCCCACTCTGCCAGACAGTTTGGCTCTACATTGGTTAACTCAGGACAAACATATTGGTTCTATCCAAAGAAAATCACGTCCAAATGTCCAGGTCATGATAAATTATTTCAACTTTAAAGTTGCATTTTTTTAACAATACAAATTTGATCAGATTTCAACCACAAATTTGAATGCAGCTATTGAACTTTTGCTTGAAATACTGTGGGCGCAGCATAAATCTGTGAATTACCCTATTTGGATTTCAAGTAGTTTTTCCGCATTATTTAAGAGTATTTTTATATTTGCTACAGTCAGTGAATTTGCGATATGTTATCAATCAGTCAGTCTACTTCTGCAACAAATTTCTAAATATGACGCGTATTGCATAATATGAGACAATTCAGCACCATATGATGCACAATAATTCCACACAATAAAGTTACCAAGATAAGAAGATGCAATACGCCGTTTGGATTTGTGAGATATGTTTTTCCATCACAAGAACACAAAGGCTAAATGAGAAGTGCTTTAAGCTTGTATGCAGATCAGCAGTCTTACCTTATAATCTCAATAATCGTGTAGGTCCTGACAAAACAGTGGTACTATCTCTAGAAAACAAAGCAGTGGTCTCTGAACTTAAAACTGTGCCTCACATTCTAATAGATGCTATGGAGGCTAAACAATTAGAATCCCAAGAGGTTTGAAAAAATACAGACACTTTGGTATATTCTATAATTATTTTTGAAAACCTAAAATTATGTATTTTTTATTCCATTTTATTTCTTTTAAAACATGTTTAAAAAAAAAAAAAAGCTATGTTCCTAAATTGGGAAAAGAAAAAAACAGAAGCGAACAAACATCATACTTGCAGGGTGACACAGGACATTGTTTGTCTTTCACCCCGAATGTCCATTTGACATTTAGATCTTAAAATCTCCTGACCTATATAGCTGACTGGCTCACGCGAGGAACATAAACAAAACATCTGCTACACCTCTACCGATAATTAGCTGAGTCAGTAAAATAAGCTGCAAACATCTGTCGTGGCTCAGGCAGGCCATGACAGGACAGTATGGAGGGAGAGCTGACAGTCAGTCACGACGCTGTAAATCAGTGCCACTCAACCCAGACGTTGTGTCAGTCAGTGAAGCCGATTAAGTGTTACCGAATGTTGCCTGTACTATAATTCTGACTGTTTCCAGTGGTGTTTACGACCTGTTGCCATGGCAAACGGGTTTTTGAGTGTCTGACACTGGTCCATGCAAAGCTGTTTTGGTTCGTCTGCACTTGCCTGTATGTTAAAGGAGACGTAAATTCCCAGATTCAATGATGACATCCTAGCCGATGACATCAGAGCAGCCATGGAGACCCACGCTACCCGACTGGCCTTCAGCCAGAACGGTTAGGTCAGCGGCACATGACACCCAACGTTCTGCATCCCCGCTGTGATCCCTAAGCCTCCATGCTCTCTTCCAATCTGTCACTTCTTTCAATATACTATGCTTTCTTTAGTGTGTTTCTACTTGCTTTCCCATTTTGAATTCTTATGACTCACTTTGTTGCTTCACAGTGTCACATCGCAGTATGTTGAAGGACATTTATCTCTTGGCTTCTTGAAAGTTGATTTCATATGTCATTCATTTGTCTTTATTAGTAACAGAATGGCATAGTCTTTATCTGCCTTGTGCTATTTCTATTTTCCAAAAGGTTTTCTGGGAATAAAAAGAAGCATTAAAAATGATCTAAAACAAACTTTTGTTTATGTTTGTTTATGAAGATTAGAATAGAATTTGAACAATTCAAATAGTTCAAATTTGAATAGTTTGAATATTGAACATTTAGGCCAGTTGGCGCATATCAGAATTAAATTACATCGCACTGATTCACCACTGCAACTTCTAAAAATAGAATCTCAAAGGTAGGAAGTATAAAAGATATACACCCCAAAGATATCCACACAGATTAAAATCTTTGCTCTACGAAAAATATTTTAAAGGAAGAATAAATGTAAAATGAAACTTAAGTGAACAGATTCTTTACACCAATATTGAATCAACATATTATTTGCTTTAATGTCTGTGATAGTGGTGGTGTGTTTATTCTCTCTTCAGCAGTTGAAATTCCTAAGTTTCAAATAAAAATAAAAAACAAAACAAAAAAACAAACAGAAAACTTCCTAAAGTTAAAATTCAGACTTGAAACATAAGGGCAACAACTGATCCAACACATAAATAGGAAAAGGCTTTGAAAATAACATTTTTAAACAATTTATGAAAATTCTATGGATTTATTTGAAATAACAGACGTTTCAAAAAGGTGATGATATGTGTTTTCTTTAGTACATTGCTTGCTCAGTGTACATTTCCTATTTGTTTTTTGTCTTTGCAAGTACGGTATTTGTGCGGCACAAGAAATGCTTTTTAAGTGCTTAGAAATAAAGATTAACTTTCCAAAACTATTTTAAAAAATTTTCAAATTAAGATCCAATAACTTTGCTGTTGTTGCTTATCAACGTCTGGCCATTAAAGACAGGACCTCCGGTAATCTTCTTTTTATCCTACAGAACAACGAACACCGTCTTAAAGGCTTTATCCATTTGTATAAGTTTTACTGAGCAGGCACCTCCCATGTGGACACGACCATAAATGTTTCAACCTGTGCCTCTTTCTGAACCAGGGTCGACGAAACTTTAGCTGAGCAGTGCTTCCTGGACTGACCTGTTTTCCTTTCTGTGTGATCGACCACAGGCCAGCTCCCGGGGCGCTGTCCTGCCTCCTTCAAATGCGGAACAGACACAGACAACCTCTGCCAGCCTCACTACCTGGCACCCTGCCAGACCCCGCCATGCAAGGGGCATCTGCTCAGCACATGACTGTGAGTATCGGAGGCTTTATTGTCATGCACACATTCACACAGTTTCGCCTATGCATGATTATTTATAAGTGATGGGGCGACTACTCGTATAAGTAGGTCAAGCTGGCAGAATTCCAAATATTTGCTGTCGTCTTTGACATTTGGATGTATTTGTCGAAAGTTTTAGGTATTAAACGGATGTGACAAAGATGGGAGGCTTTTCTGTTTTTTTTAATAATGAGATGATATTGTGTTGTTTTCTTAGAGCTGCAAAAATATTTGTGTCAATATTTTTTCTTCAGATAGAAAAGCAGATGTCTTGTGCAATGGGTATACCAGCTCCTGTTCAAAACCCCTCCTGTTGCTCTCCTCAGGTACCACTAAATGTTTTTGACTTCTACAAAATCATAAGATATCGGCGAATACATCTTTATGCACAAGTAGAATTAGATTGCAAACTTAACATACAGCATTTTGCAGCATACATTCTCACTTGGTTTAATGATGCGATTCAAAAATTACGTGATGCAATGCGATACGATTCTTGCAATGCAATCCAATATAATGCAACATATATAACAGTGAGATCTGATATATATACTATAGGTATAACGTGATCTAAAATGATATGTTGAATCAGAATTAGCATTATTAGTTATTTTTATGCACACAGACAAGGATTTTGACTTTGGTTTCACTTGCTCTCAACGTACAGACATTTAAGTATAAATACATAAAAAATTATGCAACAAGACGCAATATGATATGAAGTTTTGTTTTCCGTGACTGTCCACAGACCGTTTTGACGCACATTTGTGGGCAGTGCTGTAAATCTCAACGTACCACAAGTCACAGTTTATGGTGCATTCCTCCACCGGTGAAACTCAGATCTTGAAATTACACTCGGTTTTAGACGACAGAAAACAAATCGAGTTTGATCACTGCTATAAACATGTCCCTGCAGTTCATGAAGGCTGCTACATCTGGCTGCTTTCAAAAGATGCAAACTGCCATTTGACATGAGTCACTATCCCAAAGCAAATATAAATTTCCCAGAAAGCTGGTACGTTGAACTCATCCAACATCCAACCCTCATTCCTAAAAATTTGGAAATTACTTTAATAATTCCCAAATTTTGTTTGGAATAAGATGTCAAAAGTCTCACTGAAATTTGATAGCGAGTTCCCAGAAACTGGGTTGACACTGACTTTCATACAGCGAAGTCAGTTATCTTAACTTGTCAGCATAGATGAGAACTACCAAGATTTACCTAGCATTAGCAACACATAAACATTAGCTTTCTGCAAACGTGGTCAAAGTCAAAAGTCAATTATAACATTTGAGCTAATTTCCTTAAGTACAGATAAAGGGAACAAAAAGACATTGAGCAACCACATCTCTAGGTATCACATGTTTGTTACTTAACATGCAGAAGCTGCTGGATATATTTTTGTAGCTCAATAGTCATCCAGCAGCTCCCATTATTCCATAGTCACCTGATGTGATAGTTGCCGTGAAGTGTTGTCACTGCAGCTTGAACCACCACTGGTGGAAAGTTCAGGAAAAAGTCAAGGAATCTCACCTTTCTCAGTCACATCTGGCTTTTAATGTCTTTACGTAATCCAGAATACGCAGGAGGTTGAAGATCATTAAAATGCCTGTTAAAAGTGGGATAAAAGTGTATTTATTCCAAACCTCTCTGATTCCACAATGTACTGAACCCACGGCATTGGCTGTGAACATCCACGATGATTCAGATGTCAAAAGCTTGGCAATACTAAAGCAGTGACTTGAAGGCAAAGATGAGAAGAAGCAAAAGTTGCAGGTAAAGTAAAACCATTCTGCAAGCTGCGACAAAGAGTGGCCAATTATGCTGGAACCCGGTGATTAATTTATATATTTCTTCGTTCTTTCCCTCTTTGTTTTGGGAAAGTTACATTAAGTACATGCAGCTGGAATCTTTTTACTAATTAGGTCTATCTATTAATTAGGTGACTTCTGAAGACTCTTTGGTTCCTTTAACTTTACAATGATCCCCTACTAAAAGTTGCCTTATCACATAAATCCGTAATGTTGTGTATTGAAGCGTGTGGTAGTTACATAAAAAAATGTGGAAAAGTTAAAGGAGTACCAACATTTTTGAAAGGCTTAGTAACGTTTCGCCCGGGCCAGCTCGTATGATCTTAAACTCTTAACTGCTCCTCGCTCATATCAGCACGCCCGTAATAAGGTCAGTTGTCTTTTCCGGATCCTCAGCACAGCGGTTGAGCTGCAATCAGGTGTTATCAGGTGCTATTCATCCCCAGGTGTGAAACGAGACACTGCCTTCTTAAAACCATAGGAGGTGCATTAACATGCCTCTGTTGTACAGTAACAGTGCACTCAGCTGAAGTGGAAAAATAAACATCTGACGAGTGGATCCGTGTTTCATGTAAAGTTTTATGTTTTCATTCACTGATCCCTCTAGACAGAAATATCAAAGCGGTGTGTCATCTAGGCCAAGAAGACCCATGATGTAATCAGCAGCCCCAGCGTCATGGTGTTTGTATGTAGTAAACAGAGCTGAAATACTCATGCCCCGTCCTGCTACGTGTGTACGTGTGTGTGTGTGTGTGTGGGGGGGGGGGGGGGTGGGGGTGTGTGTGTGTGTGTGTGTGGGGGTGTGTGTGTGTGTGTGTGTGTGTGTGTGTGTGTTTGACTGGCGGCCTAGCTGGCTGGTAAAGTTGGCACGGTCACTTCGGTGACCTCATCTTTGGCAGCAACTAAATGTGGCCTTTTTTTTGTAGCTGAATGGTGAAGAGAGACAGACACAGAGAAAGAGAGAGCGAGAAAGCGAGAGAGAGCGAGAGAGAAAGACGGCCTCTTCTCTTAAAGAAATATTGTGTAACAGCAAGCAGATAGTAATATTGGGAGTTGGGAGGGAGGTGATGTCATGCTCCAAACATGACCTCTCCCTATCTCGCTGAGTGTGGGAGAAAGGTGAGATGAGGTTTAATTTAGCTCGTACAGTCGCTTTAGTCAGATGATACACGGGAATAATAAAGTGTGAAGGGATCGAGCTGCAGATGGCACCGTTTGCATGAGAACACATTATCCCTCTTATCACCGTTTGTCAACGCTGTTGGAGATCGTGAGAAGAAACTCCAATTATGGACAAGATCTAATAGTTCTTTTTGTAAATCCCTTTGGTCTATTTTCAGACACTTCAAAATAATATTAAAAAAAAATAAAAAATACCTGTGTGCCCTTTGGGTGCAGCATGTGAACTGGGGAATTCACGTTCACATTAACCAAGAGCGTCCTACAGAGTTAACAATAACTGACAAATTTAAGGTAAATTTGAAATACCTAATTTTCGTGTAGGCGATCAACGTTTGCAAAAATATCAAAATAAGTAAATCATTTATTCATCGTCATTATTTATGTTTTTTGTGTCGCATGACAGCAGGTCACTTCATAGTAAATAATAAGAATAGGAAGCCCAGTTTAAAATTAAATAGTAATTTGCACAAGACGAAAGAACTGTGTCATCAGCATAACTATGGGATTTACAATTGTATTAAGATGCAATGTTAATAATAAAAATTATGATATGAATGATGATGGGCAACACCCTTGGGAACATAACTTAACCCAGTAGTTTTTGTTGTTGTTGTTTTCTTTTCCCCAGCAATATTGATTTACTTGAGCTATTTATACTCAAAACATTTTGAGGTGTCTTGTCACCTGAGTAAATTATAACTATGTATAGTTAATTACATGAAGTAATTAATAACTCAATACATTTTAAGAAAGTCAACATTCCTTTTAAAAATAGGAAAGTTAGGAAATAGGAAAGTGTGACTAAAACTCATAAAAAAAGGTCTGGTCAACAAATGATTAAAATTGTGGCTGAAAGTTTTTAATGAAAATACACATATTCACATTCAGCTTGTTTCAAGTTTAACTAAGCAGTAATTACCATTATTTGCACATATACAAACTAATATGTAATGCTAACCAAATGAAGTAATGACACCTTTACTTAGCCTTACCTTTATCCTTATCGTGCTATGCTATTCTGACACTCTTGTCTGCACCAATGAAGAGTCGCTCACCTCACTATGTCCTGTTTGGCGTGACTGAGAGCATCTTGAAAAAAAAATTTTCACAAGCCTGACGGCTTATTCTTGGATTAATTCTCTTCCTGTGCTCAGAGACCCAAACAGACGATGGGGCATCATTATTCTCATCAACATCCTGGAATGCTCACCATCAACAATCCTGTGACATCCATGGGTCATATGATGGAGATGATGTCACAGTGCCACCACACCCCTCCGCTACAGCAACACCACCATCCTCATCATCCCCACCTCCCTCAACACCATCATCATCACCAACCCAATCAACCGCCACAGCTTGCAGCTCCGCCCCACACCTACCAGCAGCGATGCCATGCTCCACCTCCACAACACCTACGAAGCACTCAGAGCCTCCAACTTCACCAGTCAGGGAACGCAGCACACTCTCATTCTCACCAGTCACCGCCATTACGCCTGCATCAGAACTCCCCACCTGCACCCCCACTATCTGCCCCACCACAGGTGCAATACATTACACAAAGTACACAGTTTCTGTTGGTGTTGTATTTGTCCTTTCAAGCTAAGAGATGTTACTTTTCGATGTTTTTTTTTTCTCCTTTTTTCTTCAGTTATCACCAGTTGCACAACAGATGCAACCGTCCCACTCCCAGCATGCAGCACAGGCAAGCTGTAGCGGCAGCAGCAGCAGCGGGGGCAGCGGTGGAGGTGGTGGAGGAGGCGGCAGCCGTCGAAGAAGATCGGCTGAGCAGGACCCTGATGAGCGCAGGCAAAAGTTTCTGGAGCGCAATCGGGCCGCAGCGACCCGCTGCCGACAAAAGAGGAAACTGTGGGTGTCGTCACTGGAGAAGAAGGCAGAAGAGCTTACGCACACAAACCTACAGCTGCAGGTGGGAAATGCTTTGCGTTTTGCAAGGCTCTAAGGCTGAAAGATTGCAGACTTGAAGAATAATCTTCAAGGCATTTGATTGGGATTTAATGTGGCAGCCTGAGTAGTGGGTGAAAATTTGTAAAAAATAAAAGTCTTAAAGTTCTGAATTAAAAAAAAAAGGTATTTGGCGGGTAAGCATATTTTTACAAAGCATCACACTTATCAGATCTATCTGCATCCCCAGAACGAGGTGACGTCACTGAGGTCAGAGGTTGGCCAGTTGAAGCAGATCCTGCTCACCCACAAGGACTGTCCCGTCACTGCTCGGCAGAGGGAGGCACAGGGGTACCCCAGTGAGTAAAACCCCTCACCCTGCACCTCTGTCTAGACAGCCCAGCAGCTTTCCCAGAGCATCATCAATGACCGCTGAGGTTATTGTTCAGGCACATCGTTCCTTTATAGTGCTAATAGACGAATGCCAACTGGCTGCATGTGCTTCGCTATAATAAAGCACTCTTCTGTTCATTCAGAGACCTTAAACTGTGTCCCACAGCACTTTGGAATAAAATCAGCTTCTAAATCCACATTGTCCAAATATTAGAGATTGCACTTTTGTTCCTCAGGAGAGCCGATCAAACACTTAGGGAGATCCTTCATCTTTACATTTCAAAGAACCATACATGTCGCACTCCAGGCAGGCTAAAGTGTATGTCCAACATAAACTTTAACTGACTGTCATAACAAAAGATTTACAAGTGGCTATTATGCAATGATAGCCTGTGTTATATTCATATATTTCTATTCTTGTCTTTTTACTTGTATGTACAGTATTCAGTTGTTAAAAGAATAAAAAAGAGATGTTTTCATATGACCTGAGCTGAAGTTGGGTTTTTTTATTTTTCTGTTAAACATACAAAAGCAAACCTCAATCCCACAGCGGGACACCCGAACATTATCGGTGACTTTGACAGATGTCTCTGTGTCCAGCTGCAGGGGTGAGTCCAGAAGGCAGTCCCACCCCTGCAGAACCTGAGACTCAGCCTCACGCCATCCAGCACAACAGCGTTTCCACCTCCTCGACAGGCGGATCCGACATCGGGCACGGCCCCCTCTCTGGACTCTAACCCCCGCTACAGATAATAGCGCTGAACTCGACGAGTGGATTCATAAATCCATACGGACTCAAAGCTGTTTTATCGGCATCAGCAGCAGCAGCCCTTTTTTTTAACATCAGGTGCTAAAACAAGCCTTGTTTGCAAAACTCTGATGTTAACTTTGACTCTTGTGTTGATGAGGGAAATATCTGGGGTTGCCTACATGAATCCAACCTGCACTTCTAACTCACGGGTGACCCAAACACAGACAATCTCTGCATGTTTTGCACTAACTTTAATAAAACAACTCCTAAGCAGTACGGTGCCTGCAAAACTATTCATATGTTTATGTACACAGGTTGTAGAAAGAAAATGTTTTACAAAAGATAAATTAACACTACTCCTCTTTACTCCGACACTACTATGTAAAGTGGTGTAAAAGTCTCTAAATAGTCTTCCCAGGTTCAGTTTAATCTAAAAGAAAAAAATTATGGGACTTTTAAGGTATATGCCCTCCAAACACACCATTTCCTAAAACATGGTGGCAGCAGCATTAACCCGAGGCGATGTTTTTCTGCAGCAGGAACAAGAGAACGGGACAAAATTGATGGAAATGTGGAGGGAGCGTAAGAAACCGACGCTGAAGGAAAATGTGCTTGAGACTTAAAAGCCTGTACTGCAGAAAAAGGACAGCTGAATGCAATCTCTTCCCTCCCTTGGTTCATTTCTAAACTGCTTTGTGTGGTTCTAACTCAAAACATGCATTGAAAGTGTAATGAAATGTGAAAATTTCAAGGAGTATGAGTATATCTAAAAGGCCCTGTATATTTTTATATGTAACTAACACTGCAGCTGCTGGTTGCACACCTTATGCCTTTGTATTGAAGCAAAAAAAAAAATCATTTCAATGACTAATACAACTGTATTTGTTTATTAGTAAGTAAACCACTTCTTTACAAAATGTTATTTTAAACATTTCAAATGTGTTCCTGTAAATAAAGTCAATCAAACCAGAAATCTGTGTTGCAGAGCCATAGAAATGGAACAACAGGCTTTCTTGAATGGCACTTTTGTTTGTTTTTTTACTTTGTGAAATCATCACCTAAGTATAACAGTAATATTCTGTTATCTTCACGTGGTGTTATGTCATTTTTCATTCATGAAAAAAGATGAAGTGTTTGGTTGTTTGGGGGGAAGAAATTGCATGAGAAACTGTGCGGTTCACTCTGCCCCCTAGCGTCCGTTTCGGGTTTTACACCGTCTTGCGACCACAGTAACCTAATGAAATTGAAGCACTTTTAGTTTTTTTTTCCCAGCATGCACTCATAAATATTTCTTGATATATTGTTGCAACAAACATTTTAAAGAGGTGTTTTCCCTTTTGTTCGACTGGATCGTGATTTATATTCAAGTATACGAGTGTTCAAAACGTTTATTTCAAACTAAGCCAAATCTTTCATGTAAAACATTGAAAATGAGTTTAGATAAACTTGAATGAAAGACTCTTTGACCTTCTGGTTGTCTTAAAATACTTCTTTGTGCACAAATTTGTGTCTGTCGGGACTAAGTGCTGGAGGCACTCCACCCTGTTGACTCAAACAAAGACACTAACCATTGCCAGACGTCTCTAACATTAACTCTGCAAGAACCCCACACACAATGCAGATTTTCCTTTAAACCTTTAGATTTATTGTTCCACCTTCTGAAATACAAACAGTAGCCAACATTCAAGCTCTGAGTGGCAGACGTTTAAAATATTAATAGTTTTCAGCAGTACCGTCAACATGAATGGACTTTGATGCCTAAAGGTTACAGTAAGACATCACATGAAAAATTTTAAAATAAAGAGGCCGCAGAGTCCAGAGATCAAATTTGTCCTCTTCTAACGTTTGTTTCACTTGTTCCATGTGGGTATGAAAATTTACACTTCTTTTGCTTTGCCAAATAAATCAATACATGTAGAAACACAGTATATCATAGATAATTAAACTGTCCACAAATGCTTCCAATTCAATTTAGGCATATTGTTGAAGACATTTGTTCCCCGCACCTCCAGTTTATGCGCAATCTGGAGGTGAACGCACTTGTCCACACAGGAAACCCAGTGTGCACACTGATTTCCTCGTGCTTTTTTTTTTGTTTGTTTTATGCATAATATTACATGATATTATTTTTTTTTTACAAAACATATAAAACATAATACAAATAGTTTCTCTGCCAACCAGCAGCCCTCATCACATACTGTACAAATATCAGACAATATCGTGTCTGTGAACTGGGTATTAGCACAATCGCTGAAATCGGTGGTACAACATCCAATATGTGCACACATCCACTCATAAAAAAATCACATACGTTGAGACATTCTCAGGTGCAAGGAAATGAAAGAGGAAAAGGCCACATTAAGGAAAAAGGAAGTCTGAGAAAATCAACTTCCTCTGGAGTCTGAAATGATCATTATGAGCTCAGCTGTGCTACAGCTGAAGGTAAATGTTCTCAGTAAATAGAGGGAACCTAAAACAAATGTCTGTGTTCTGGTTTTGCAGGGTGTACACAGTGAAAAACTATTTATTTTTTCAAAGAATTCAACTTGGTCAAAATCAAATATTTCTTTCTATCCCATGCATTTCCATGTATTTTTTGTTTTAGTCAGAGAATCTCTGCATATTGCCGTCTCTGCGAACTCCACAGTTGTCTAAAAACCGGTCACAAGGGAACTCAATCAGGTCTCCCTCCAGGGGAGCAAGCCGGGCTGATCGACTGCTCTGGTAGTTAGTAAAGTCCGTGGAGACGGAGGTCGTTGCCACCGTGGGACGGAACGGTCTCCTTGTGGAGTACATGTGGCGCACGTGAACGGCTGACTTCCTCTTCTGCAACCTCTTTCTGAGGCTCCGCCCAAGCCAGATGCCACTGATGACCAGCAGCAGCAAAGCATTTCCCACCAGTGTCACCACTGTCACCAGCTGGAGGTCAGACGTTAGAGAAGTACTGCCCTGACGGCTGGCCACCTCGGGGAGGGTGACCAGTCCTGCACAGTGGTCACGGGGTGCCACATGGCACACAAATCCGCCAACTACGCCTTCCACACAGACCACATAGGTCACTCCCGAGGTGAGTTCGCGAAGGGTCACAGAGCGAGAATCTCTTCCGGCATAGACGTAGCGAGGGAAACGGTCCGGGTTGCCAAACCGGTCAAACAGAATCCGGTAGTGGACTTCGTGTAGGCCTGGTCGTGGTCCTGGTGAGTAGCGATGATGATCTTGGCTTGTCCAGTGAACGGTGGCAGTGCTAGATGTCACCTGATCAACTGAAACATTGGTGATGAAATGTCGGTTGAACACACAAGGGTCTGAGATAACGGGCAATCCCTCGTCTTGATCTGACCTGAGGAGATCAAACTTTTCTCCTGGCTGGACAGGCTCCCCGGTACTGAGCCATGTGTTTGTTGGATGACTTGGTTTGGATGTGATTAATGGCTCAATCTTACGTGTAACATTTGACCTGTGGCTTCCTTTGGTACGTCTACCCGCTGCCTCTGAAGCAAGTCGTGACTCTTTCTTTGTTTTCTTTCCTTTCAGGATAGAAGTTTCTGCTGCCTCCAGACCGCCTTGGTCTCCTTGGACTTCCACCTCTTCCTGGCCACCTCTTTTCCTTTTCTCCCCTTCTCTTCTCGTCACTGTCCCGCCTCTGATAAGCTGTCTTTCTCCTAATTCTGTTTTATTTTTGTCACCTAGCTCCATCCAATTCTCCCCACGTTTTCCCTCTGGATCTAACTTTGTTCCATCTTTCCCATCCATTTTCTTACGTAGGCCTCCTCCCCAACTGTCCTCAGGCCCAGATCCACTCTTACAGGAATGGTTCCAGTTCCCAAAGGGATGCAGCTGGGAGCTGTTCACATAGTCCAGATACTTCCCCCTCAGAGTTTCCGGGTAATGGCATTGCACAAATACAGTCGAAAGCTTTCGCTGAGAATGAGCAGCAGTCATCCATCTTTTCAAGTCCTCAAGGCGACAGTCGCAGGTCCAGTTGTTGCCGTGAAGATCAATGTTCCGAAGAACGCTGTTGGAGGCAAAAATCTCACCTGACAGACTGGTCAGAAAGTTGTTCTTCAACCTCAGCACCTTTAAGTATTTAAGTCTGGAAAAGGCGGACGGGTCCACGCTGACAAGACGGTTGTGACTGAAGTCCAGCACCTCAACCCTCTCCAAAGGGTCGAGCCATACAGCGTTAATTTCCTCCAGCTCATTGCCATCAATCAGAAACTCCCGGAGGCTTGACAGTCCCCTCAGTGCGTCTCTGTCCAAGTGAGAAATCCTGTTGTTACTGAGGGAAAGCTTGGACAGCTTCTTCAGGTTTTGGAAGACGTGGTTTCCGATGTGCCGAATTTCATTTTCAGACAGCAACAAAACGGTCAGAGATCTGAGGTGAGAGAAACTCAGAACATTAGTGAGGGCTGCCAGCTTGTTGTGGGCCAGGTTAAGAAAGCGCAGGCTGGTCAGTTTCAGGAAAGCGTTTCTGTGGATGTGATGGAGTCTGTTGTGCTCCAAGTGAAGGTACTGAAGGTTGGCCAAATTTGTGAAAACAGAGTCCTGCAGAATCTCTAATGAGTTGCCGTCAAGGCGCAGTTTAACAAGATTGTCCAAGTTCAAGAAGTCCTCCGGTAGGACTTTCATAATGGCGTTGTCATTCCCATAGAAAGTAGACAGTTTATTCAAAGATTGCAAACTTCCAGCAGGCAAAGCTGTTAAAAGATTATGCCCCAGGTAAAGCTCCTCCAGCCTGGACAGCTTCTCGAATGCTTTTGGGTGAATGGCTGCTATTTGATTGTACTGCAAATTCAGTCTTACGAGCTTACAGTACCGTGCAAAGTCTGAAGCGGAGATGTTCGTGATGAAGTTGCCCCCGAGGCTCAAGATCAGCGCATCATCTGACGCCCGCGCGGACGCTTCGGGCACAGCGCGCAAGCCGCGGTTGGCGCACACGAGGTGCAGCGCGTGCACGCAGTCGCAGCGCTCGGGACAAAAATCCAACACCGGGGAGGAGGATGAAAACCCACCGAGCGACAGCAGGAAAAGGCATATTCCCACCGAGGAGGAGCGGCTGGTATCCATGTCCACATTCGTCGTTCAGGTGCAGGCGCCCCGCTCCTCCGTCATGCTGCCGAGCGACCCCTCCACGACTCACGCCGGGATCCGAAAAGCAAGCGGCGCGCACCCCGGGAGCGTCAGCTCCGCACGCATCAAGAACAGCAGTGCCATTCGTCCAACGTGCCCTGGTGCTGCTCACCTCCCGAATGCGTCCTCCATCTCCCCCGAGCGGTCATCTGCTGCGAATTACAGCGCACACGCGCGCGCGCGCGCACGCACACACACACACACACACACACACACACACACACACACACACACACACACACACACACACACACACACACGCTGAAGAAGTCCCTCCCCTGCAACTTCTCGACCCCACCAGAGCCAGATGTGCACGCCTCGTCTCTTTACGCACGAGATTCAGCGGCCCCCGCGCGCGTCCCCGAAAGAGCGGAAGATCCTCTGACCTGACCGACATTTGAGCGCGCGCGCGCCCACATGCACCAACTGAGGGGGTGATCCAACGGGGACGCTGGAAGGTTTCCTTCACACGGAAGGACACCATCCACACCCCCACCCCTGAATTTGTTTATTTATTCAATTCTCCAAACTGATGGCTGTTTTTAGTAAAACAATCCGAGCATCAGTTGAGCGTGAGGTGCGTTTTTCTGGACACACCCAGCAGAAAGCCTTCAATAAGAGTCCACTCATTTAGTCTGCATGCGCGCTGTACAGTAACTATCATCTCGAAGTCTGTAATGTGATTTACATTCTCTCATTAAAGCGTCTGTTTGTTGCGGGGTTGGGGTGTGTGTGTGTGTGTGTGTGTGTGTGTGTGTGTGTGTGTGTGTGTGGTGTGTGTGTGTGTGTGTGGTGTGTGTGTGTGTGTGTGTTTGGGGGGTAAGGGGGTTGCACAGATGGTTC